CCGCCGAGGCCGTCGTCGCACCCGGGCCGGCCCAGCCGCCGCCACCGGCCCCGCCGCCGCAAGAACCCCAACAGGCCCTCCACGGGGTCCCGCCGCAGGGCGACGCGACCGTCGAGGTCTAGGGCCGCATGGAACGCAACGCAACGCACGGCCACAAAGAACGCAACAGGATGCGCTACAATACGATACAATACGATACCAAACCAAACCATACCATACCATACCATACCAAATCAAACTCGAAACCCCAATCACCAAACACAAACCAAGAATGTGGCAGTTTGGAAAGTTTAAGTACTGTACATACTCTATCCGACTGCAAAACACGACCGGTCGCTTTCCATCCATCCATCGCAAGCACGCATGCATCGGCCTCGAATAGGACAGGACAGGACAGGCTCGTGTCGCGGTTCTGCCTCGGAATCCGTACCGGGAAACCCCTGGTGCTTCCTATGGAATTTGGGACTGGTGTGCAGTGCAATCCTTTTGTGCCCACCGGTAGAGCGGCTCGCATTCTTGTGACACCCCGGTGTGGGGTTTGAGGAACGGCCGAGGACACCAACGATTGAAAACAATTCTTGGAGAGATGCTCCGACCAACTAGACCTGCGCGGCAGCAATACTACTGCTTCCTAGGTGTCATATAGAAGATTATTATTAGTATTTATGAAGTGGTTCTCGATTCGAAACTAAAAAGTGTACCAGTGCCTTATCAGATACAACTACTTACTAGATGTCATTTAGAAGATTATTATTCGTATTTATAAAGTGGTTCTCGATTCGAAACTAAAAAGTGTACCAGTGCCTTACCAGATACAACTACTTGCTAGGTGTCAGAAAAGATTATTACTAGTATTTACGAAGAGGTTCTCGATTCAAAACTGAAAATTGTACAAACCAAACCGCAGCGATGCGGCCAAAAAGGCCATGCATCCTGCGTACCCATCGTGCGAGACGAAACGAAACGAATTCGCCTCCCGCGTGCCTGCCGCACCAAACCGTCGCAAAACTCCGATCGATGAACCCCCGATGGAGGACCTTTCCTTTCCTTTCGTTTCGGAACCTTCCCGGACGTGCAGGGTGCTTCCCGCCCCCGGAACAGCAACCCCAAACCGTCGCCACCGAGGGCCATTCGCAGTGCCGTGTGGAGTGGTGTAACACGCCGTGGCAGTTGCATCGGCATTCGGCTCCCTGCCGGGCCGTGGGTCGTTCGGCAGAGCCCGCGCAAGAGGGCTCCGTGCTTCCTTAGTCTTTTTTTGCCTCGTCTCGTCTTGCCTCGTGGCGCAAGACCCACCGCCGTGGTGCCTCCCGCAATGGCCCGCCTTACTCCGACGAGCAAGCCTTCTTCTCGGGCATGGGCATGCTCTCGGCCAGCTTCGCCAGCCCGCTGCGGACCATGTCCCCGGTGATCTGAATGACCAGCTCCTCCCCCGCGCTCCTGCCGACCGAGGTCATCGCTCCCCCCAGGTCCGCATGACCGGTGCTCCCGGCCTTCGCAACGTCCATTCGGTTGAGCGCGTTTCCGTCGATCCCAATGTCCTCGGCGGAAAGGATAACGTCCAGGTCCAGGTCGTCGAGGCGAATGTGCGGGTGCGCAGCCATCAGGGCCTTGGCTTCGTCGTCCAGAACCCTCTTTGCCTGTACTTTGAAAAAGTGGTCCATGTATCCCTTGACCCTCTCCTGGCGCCCCGTGTACTCGAGGTCCTTGATGTTGGAAAAGACTCCCCTGTGGACGTGGAAGCAGTCGAACCTCGACAGAAAAATCACCGCGAGGCAAAAGGCCGAGACGGCGATCGAAAAGAGCACCTTGGGAGGGACCTGATCCACCAGGGACCTCCTGCTGCCCGGGAGCTTCATCTTCATCCAGAACGACGGGGAGGACGCCGAACGGGACCCCGTCTTTCTGCTGCCCCGGGACGACTTCTTCCTGGAGCGAGTCTGGTGCTGGTGCTGCTTCTTGTTGTTCATTCTGTGCTTTTGTGCTTTGCCTGCCGTTTCCCAGCGATGCGATCGGGTCGGTGGTGCTGCGGATGCGAATCAAATGAGAATACCAATCCGGATGCGAACCAAATGCCTTGGGAACAGAACCTACGATACCGTTTTTACCGTTGTTGCAAGAGTGATCCGTTGTGTTCCTGTTTGTGCTGAATATTAATGCCTGTGTTCCCTTCGCTGCGCAGTTTGTTGTGTCGACCCCAGGTGAAATGAACGTTACGGAACTTCTGAAAATACTTCCTTCCATCAGCCATGGAACCTTGCATACAAAGAATACTTAGTACTTAAATGAAAAGGTTGTGAACGAATATGCCCGAGAAAACAAAGGTTGTACGATTTCCTGTGTGCAATGAATGATAGTTTTTTTTTGGAATTCTGTCATTCTTCTTAAGTAAAAAATGGAAGCCTGACAGGTTTTCTAAAATACGAACGCCCGTCGGTCCTATTTTGGAAAGAGAGGTACTTAGCTTTTAACTCCACAACAGAGACAAGAAGAAGAACCAATCACGGACAAGCATGCGAACCGCAATCAGTCTTTGCGAGCCAGCGTGGCAAAGCGGAATCAATACCGTCAGGTTGAAGGTCCCGTATTCGTCATAGATAATTCGTCATCGATAATTTTTTCGTCTTGATACTGTAAAAGGAATACGAGGTTGGAAGGCATGTGAGGTGGAGACAGGTCCGGAGTCAGTACAAATTGTACATGGCTCTACGAAGGGAACAATACGGTACAGCTTACCTGCCTTCCGAAGTACAACCTGTCTCATTTTACAAAAAACCATACTGTAAGTATTTTATATCGAAATATTTGGTAGTATGAAATTGTACACGTGGAAACCCTTTTTATTAATAAACATTTGTTGATCGATTGACCTAAAACTTCTGGATCCCCCCTTCTTTTTATTATTATTGAAGTTATTCTAATATGTGCCGAAGGGAGGTGTCCCCAATCGCTTTTGCACGAGATTACGTGTACTCTTAGTATGTTTTTTGTGTGTATGAAAATTGAATTATGATTAAGATTCTCGCGCTTCGACTTTAGCATTCAGTAGCTCTGATTAGATCCTGTGTATCTCTCAGTACTAAATCTACACAGGGTTCTTATTATTCTGATCTACTGACATCTTTGTTCCGTGCGAGGTAATCTATTTCTGATATCATGGACCTCTTACGATCCTCGGATATCTCACGAGGGATCCTATGATACATACATATAAAAAGTACCTTACAATAGGTACGTAGGAATGGTATGCTCCTTCACTCCTTTCTCCATACTTCTGATACTTTACGTACGTATCTGTTGCAGCTTTGTCTGGAGGGTTAGAAAAACTTCATGCTGGTTTTTTTTTTACTATTAAAAACTGTGCGGTTGAAAATCTGTTGTTGGACCTATCATTGTTTAATGCTTACTGGCATGACAATTCTGTTCACATTTGGTCCTGCTTTGTATCACAAATTGTAAAATACAGCAATCAGTAGCCAATATTCTTAACCATCAATTTATATTCTTCAAAATTTTAGAGTGGAAGATAAAGTACTACAATCACCATATCTACGTAATACTATGATCAAAATTACAATTGTAATTTGACATCACTGAAAAGAAGGAGAGATGGCAACTTCCTAGTGAGAATGTTCATAGCTAAATTAAAATTTGGAAAGGATTGTGGGACAGTCTGTTTCTTTGAATTGCAAGTCCAAGAAGAATATAAGAATGTGGAGCAACCTGTACTATGTTGGTAGAAACAAGAACACAAAGGTATGGTATAAAATGACACAGAGGTGCGGAATTGATCAAGAAACATGAACACTGTTGGCATAACTGCAGCCAAAACTAACAGAAACACATGGGAATATAGGTCCTCATGCATTCAAAAGACAGATCTTATATGCTTTTTGTGACAAGGAATTGTAACAGATTGGTGGGGAAGAAGTCTGTCAGCTGGTGGTGCCAACTACTACAAAGAAGAAGTAATGACAACTACAATAGTAGTAGCTACTGCAAATCATACCACTACTCTACTAGTACTGCTGCTAGTGCTAATCAATTGTCAGTTCTTCCAATCAATGATGTCCCCCTTAAGGACTTTGGTGACCTCACAACTCTTTCAGTGACAACTGGTATTCCACAATCAACTCTACATAAGTTCTTTGTCAGAAGAGGCACACTCAAGAAATACAATGGAACAACAAAGCCTCTCCTGATAGCTGCAAATAAAGTCCAATAAGTTAAGTGGATCTTGGGGCACATTGATGCTACTAATGGTATGTTTGATGACTGGTTCAAATGGTTTCATATTGATGAAAAGTGGTACTATTTAAAAAATACAAAGCAGATGATGTATCTGCTCCTGGAAGAAGTTGAACCAAAGTCTACATCAAAGTCAAAGAATCATTTGATGAAGGTCATGTTTATATATGCAGCAGCAAGAAGGCCACATTTTGACTCCACCAGAAAAACTTGGTTTGATGGAAAGATGGGCATCTGGCCCTTTTACACCAGCAAAATGGACTTCTTTCAATTGTTGTGCAGGAATACTAGTGATGAAGCTGCAGAATATTACTGGTGATGTGTAAAGGAAGGAGATGTTCCTACTGCAGGTGGACATTCATCAATAGAGGTCATTATCCAAGAGGACAATGTAAGGCTGCAAAATCACAGCAGCAGCTGCAAGCAACAATGGTTGGAATACTTCGGTAAAAACTCAACTGCCAGACATGCTAAATGTACTTGGCCTTGGATTCTTCAATTCAATTCAAATCTTGCAGTACAAGAAGAAACGGTTTAAGGATACCAATCATTTGGGTGCAAGCACCAGGAGACACTGAATAATGTGTTTTTGCTGTTGCAGTCTTGTACTATGGAAGCGACAATTACAGGCTCCCACATATGGGTAAAGCAAGTCTCTTGTAAGAAGTTCAATACCACCAGTTTCAACTATTTTCAATGCTGATTGGATCAAGAATGCAGGGCGTGAATTGCTTGCTCCTCAACCTGAATCACAGAATTTTTTGCTGATTTACAGTATTAGTAGTAGTAGTAGCAAAATAAGTGCATGTTATGATGAAATGATGCTATTTGTGTTGCCCATTCTAAACAATTGCACTGGTGAGTCATAGCATACTAGTAGGGGACAGTATTTGTACTATGGATGGCCAAAAAGGTCACAGGGTAGTACAGCAGTATTTTGGTGGGGATGGACGAGGAAGTACCACTACTGCCACTAAGAGCAGCACCAGCACAAGCACCAGCACCAGTATAAATTTTCAGAGCACTGCAGACATGAATAACAAGAAGTACTAGCTAGGTAGTACAAGCTAGTACTACTAGTACTACATCAACAACTACTATTAGTACTACCAGTACTAGTAGTACCACCATTACTATTGTGAGCTATTTCTTGTACTAGTGTCTCTGTTGTCCTTTAGGACACATCACCACCTATTGAGGAAGGAGTAGTGTTGCATGGGTAGTTGTTGTTTTTTTTTTTGCTCTACATAAATGATTGGATCACGAAAGCATATACTAACCAATTGATTAGGGCGAATCAATTTACTGATTCATATTATTGGTAAAAATATTGGGTCATTCCCGTTATTCTAAATCTCTAAAACTCTAAATCTAGGGATCTAGAATAATGGGAATGAAAGACATTCAATGGACAGACTGAGAATTGCTGGCTCGATGCCAGTCTTTGTAGGAATTTGGAATTTTAAATAATTGTCAACGTAAAGACTAAAAAGACTCAAACGCGCGCCATGGTTGAAAGTAAAACATGAAATTTTCGATACTCAACTAGGGTATAACATGAACTCATTTTCTGCTTGAAATCAAGAATATGCAGAAAATGAGTTCATGTACTACGCTAGTAATAAGTTGACAGAGTAGAGTAAGACATAAACTCATTTTCTGCATATTCTCGATTTCGAGCAGAAAATGAGTTCATGTCTTAGTCTATGGTGTTTGCAAACAAGCCGACACAAAAAACACTAAAAAACAACAGTTTCCTCCCAGCAAAACAAAAGGCAACATCGAACATTGACAATGGGAGTAGTGGAAGTGATCACGATGTACTGGTACATTCATCTGAATAACCAAAGTTATAGGCAAAGGCTCTCTCCGGAGGAGGGACGGGAGAACCCCAAGGATTGCAATCAGGAGATATGCTGATTCCCCCTTCCTCCATTTGTTCCACTCTGGGGATGACCAAGCCCTACTGAACTGCTGTGGTGTCGACCACAGGGTCTTCAGGGAGCTTGTTGATGTGTTTGCTCCAGTATACAACAAGTTCACTGTCAACAAYGACAATGAGATTGTGGAGGTTCCTTGTTTCCCCAGKGGMAAGCCCAAAGGGAAGAAAAGGGAGGTYGATGCAGTCYRTGCAATAGGGTTGGTCCTTTACTGGTATAGGACACGGGGWTCTGTTGCAAGGTCRATGGCAATGGCCTTTGGCTTAACATCCACAGTGATGTAYAAGTGGCTCAAGTTTTCAAGAAGAGTGATGCTKGYTGCWCTTCACAARRRTCCAGAGKCCATGGTGAGTGTGCCAACAAAGGAAGAAGTGGATAGTTATGTTAAGGCTATTGGAGAGAAGTATCCAAGGCTTGGAGAAAAACACGTATGGGGTGCTGATGATGGTCTCAAGAGCGCCATTGAAGCATCTGAGGACTGGTTCAAACAGACAGCCTTCTACAACGCCTGGAAGGAGAACACCTTTGTCAACAGTGTGTTTGTCTTTGCACCAGATGGTAGAATCAGGATTGCAGTCATCAACTGTCCAGGCGCGTGGCATGACAGCGCCATTGCCGACCATGGCGTCTATGACAGGATTGAGGAGGTCCATCACAGGTGTGATGGGGCCAAAATTGTTGTTGATTCAGCTTTTGCCTTGAAGGAAAGGGCCAATATCCTCATCAAAAGCTCACAGCATGACCCAGAACAGGAGGATCTCCTCCTCATCAACAGGGACGCGACGTCGCTGAGACAGATGTCTGAGTGGGGGATGAGAATGATTCAAGGACAGTTTCCAAGAATCAAAGACAGGATGTTCTTGGAGGAGCATGGAGATAGGAAGATCATCATGAACTTGTTGATCAACCTCTACAACTACCAATGTAGTACTGTAGGACACAACCAGATCCTATTGGCATTCATGAGGACGCCAGCAGCCATTGATCTTGCAAAGGGTTTCTTCTACGTAGGACGCCACATATCCCCCCATGGAAACAACGTGTTCGGGTGATTCCCATGGCAAGTTAAAGGTTAACAGTGAAAGATTAAATGTAATTTGATTCAATGTAATTAGCGGAAATAAACAAGCATCGACGATGGGAATAAACAAGCAAAATAAACAAGCATTGATGATGGGAATAAACAAGCGTCAAAACTAATCGATCTACAGAGCACGTGCTACCAACAACTCGGCGCTTACCATCCTTACCATCCTCACCATCCTCACCATCCACACCATGGTCAATCCTATCCAATGGTTAGTTTCCTTAACTATTGTTGAATTCTTTGCTGTCTTATCACGCTTTTCCTACAGTATGAGTGTTTGCTGCTTAGTGCAACCGTGTAGTTGTGTTACTGTAGATCAAGTGAAACAGCTGTTGATCCAGTACTGTGAAAGGATCGGTTTTTGTGTGAACGTTGTCCAACGTCCGTTGAAACAGAGCAATGCTGCTGAAGATTTCAATGTATCCTGCAATGAATATCACATCCTTGTTATACTACAATGAAAATGAGGGTATTATATGAAATATGTGCATGCCGAGGAAGCTGGGAATTTGCTGTTTTTGTGGGAATCCCCACATGCGTTATTTAGCAAAATCCTATTCTAATCCCGCATTGGTTTGCACAAAAACCAATACAAGAATAGCGGCAAACAGGAATAAGTAGAATCCCTACTATGGCATACTTCAACGGATAGGAATACTGCTAGGAATACTGCTTGCATGCTGTGGATACTACAGTCGATACTAGCCTCACTAAATTGATTACATTCAATGTAGTACAGTTTGTTTTCAATTAGCGCTTAAGCAAACTAACCAACGTTGTTGCCTTTTTTGTTGTTTCCACCATGGGATTCTTCTTCTCCCGTGGTGGCCTCCTTACGGGGGCGTTTGTCGGCGGACTGGTAAGACATAGCGTCGTTGTTTGTTCTGTCCTGAAGAACCGGCTGGAGCTGTTGTGTGCTTTGCCATTGCTGGAAGCAAGTCATTGCCATTGCGAGAGCATTCTTCCACATCAGATTGGTCTCCTTAGCAATTTGGCTTGCCTCCTTTGCAATCTTGGACTGCTCTAAAGCCATCTCATGATTTTCTTTGTCCCTTTCTTGTTGGCTAATCAAATACTCGTTGAATACAGTAGCGTTGGGAGCTTTCGAGTAAGGTCTCTTACTATTTGGAGTAGCAGAGGACTGTACTTTAGAGGGCTTCACAATGGGAGAGTCAGCAGAAGACTCGTCTCCAAGGTGGAGAATGGGTGCTCTTCCTTGCTGCACTTCAGCAGAGGGGATCGTCTCCAAACCCCCTATCTCAAAAGCCCCATCAGTGTCAACAACAGGGAAGCCTGTCTTCATGTCAAAGTCCTCCTCACCAGTACCAATGTTTGCCTTCTTTCCAATCAAGAAATGGGCGCGCCTGACAAGCTTCACGTACCTAGGCATGTTGGGGTTGCCGGTTGAGCTCTTCATTCTTTTGATGGCACTGTACTTGTTCCTGATGGATTTCTTGCTCCTGTCAAAGGGCCACGTTGTAGCATGCTTGGCTACAACAACTGTATTCCACTGTTCTGAATCAATTGGTAGCACCTCCACTATCAACTCCATGAGGCTCTCTAGCTCTTCATCCGAGTAGTTAACAGTACCAGTTCTCCGGCCATTGGGCCATTGGGGATGGGGGGGTTTGGGTTGGCGTTTGGCTCCATCATCTTAAGGAAAATGACAGGAGGGGGGATTGGACAATGAGCTCCCTCTTTGAGGTCGACGTCCGCCTCCTCTTGCTCTCTTTCATGCAACAAAGAGAGGTAATAGAATGTAGAGACTATAAACACTAATTGTTGGGACATTGGCATTCTTGTTTATGGTCAACTGGGCGCCTTAGCGCCATTGTCAAATTGAGGCGCCTCCTATCGGTCCTCCTCTTTTAGTGAGGTTGTTTAGAACAACGGAAGTCTTAATTTTGGTGGGCCTTTCTGTTGAGTCTTACAATGGACTCGAAATTTTGGTTCGTGGATTCCACTCTAAATCTAGAGTATTTAGAACCGGTTGCTTCAACCGGTTCTAAATGTGCTAAATCTTGAGTAGAAATCTCTAAATTCCGATGGACGGACGGACCAAAAATTTAGAGATCTAGAATAACGGGAATGACCCTTTGATAGTATGTAAAACGCACACATTTCTACGGTACGGTACGTTAGTACGAAGTACAGAAAAGTATCGCCTCAAATTCTCAATATCATCAACGTTGGGTCACCAAAAGAGATGGCTCCATGAACACCTGCATCAGAAGCCCAAAATACATAGCGTTCTCTCGATTTTTTGAAAAGGCTTATTACCCCACTAAAAACAGATGACAAGGTATATTGCATACCGTAGTAGACGAACTCTAATTCTGGATGGTACAAAGTCAACTGATATTTTTTACGGATAGAAGAAAATCGCAATCTCTGTTATCACCAAGCAATTCCTCCCTTTTTTCGTCCGACACCAAACCCGTCAAATCCACGCCTACCAATCCCATTTAAGACTACGAGGGACCAAGAACGAAGTGGGAGKTGAAATATCATAGTCCCGAGGTATCAACAAAATTAAATGCCTAAAAAGGGGCAGGTGGTCAACCTACTAGCGCGCATCCGAGACACCATGTCCTTTTTTCGCTCATCTTCATCTTCATCTTCATCGTGTGTTGTGTCATAATGTCATTGCATCGCATCATCGCGGTTGCATTACTCGACGGCCCCTTGGATCCGATATTGCAAGACACAAAGCCAGCGCTAAGTCCAAAACCCAACCCATCTCAGCCTCACTAACTAAAACGACAGGCAACAATGAGTGCTACTGCGGATCGCTCGGGAATCAATAGCAACAACACTTGGTCAATCGCCGAGAAATCTCCACCGAGCTATCCCGATCACTCCGGATCATACGAATCAAAAACAGGAGCATCGTCTTCAGCACTATCCTTGCCACTGCCATCGTCGCCACCAGCTCCATCGCGTGATTTCTCTTCGAACGACACACCCGGAACCTCTCACTCCTGCGAGTCCGCGAACGAAACCCGCGGGCAGCACCGAACCAGAGCCGCAAGACACCGGCCCGCGGCACCACCACCGGGCAAGACAACGGTCGCATTTGAGGGCAGAGAACTCCTTGTTGTCACCGTCGCCGAACCACTGCTGCATCCCGTCGATCCGGATTCCGCGCTTGTCGTCCGGGCGGATCTCATCCCACCATGGCATCCCTCCCATACGTCCCAGCAACCTCGTCGGCGTCCTCACCTGCAAAAGCAACGAACACCACGCAAGGAGCAAAAAGACCAACAGACGCAACAGACGCATCAGTTGCACCGTGAGGAGTCAAGCAACAACAAGGCAGGGAAGTGGGGCAAGAACCAGCAACAGCAGCGAGCACCGGTCCATCGCAGGAACCACCAGGCCACCGTTGGCTGCCACCACAACTTCCGGCACCTGTCGTGCCTGCACGTGCTCTACCAGAGCTCCACCGCCAAAGCCAAGCACCGCGGGCGTTCGTCCTGGCTCCGAAACGCCATTGCCACTGCCACTGCCACCAGCGCAAGCGGCGGCAAGCATTCGATGACCCTTCCGATGGTTTCCTACCCCCTTTTGCTGCTCGGGGGGTTCTTCTTCTTCCTCCTGGTCGCGATGGGAGGCCTTTCTCCGGAACACGCCGGCCACCCCTTCCCGCCCGCGGTCGGTCGCGTCGGAGCCCTTCCTCTTTCGCCACGGGCCTTTCCGGGAGCGAACAAGCGCAAGAGCGGTCCCCCCAAAGGCGGCGAACCGAGCGAGACAAAACACCGAAGTCCAACCACGCTGGCCTTTGTGCTTCCGCACCCGGACCAAGGGGCTGCTTCCGCCCACATTCTGGTGGGCTCCGGCAGCGGTGAGCAGATCCGTTACGATCTGAACGAAGAAAGCGAAGGCGTCTTTCGAAGCATGGCCCAGAGGGCCGGGGCCGAGGGGAGAGACATCCGGGCGGTCGCCCGAAAGAAGGATCGTTTTTTCCTCGTCGTCGGCAGAAACCGTGGGGAGGAAGGGGAGGAGCAGAGTGGACCTCTGGCGTCGGGATCGGAGGTCTTTCTCCTGTGCCACCGAAGGGTTCCCTCGTCGGGAACGAAAGGCAAACGCGCCATGGGGGGCACCGACGAAAGGGCCGGCTTGCCCGCCGAAAAAGCTTCCGGCCACCCCCCTGCTTTTTCGACACCCAGCGAGGCAGCCGAACACAAACACAAACACGAAAACGAAAACGGAGTCTGCACCGCCGTGCGGCTCGGAAGAAGGTCCATCGTTCCCCTGACCACACACCGCGACCCGGATCCGCGACCGGAGGAGATGCCGACCGTTGCCAGAAGCCCCTACGAACCGGAGCGATACGTTCCGAAACAGCGGCTCGGTTCGAGCGTCTCGTGAGCGTGGATCCAATCCAATCCAATCCAATCCAATCGAATCCGGAACGGAACGCCGGGAAGGAAAGATAGCATTGCCGTAACCAAGCCAGCCAGCCAGCCAGCCATTTGCAAACCATGGTGCCTTTGCAGTCACGGCCACCCGGCGGGGACGGTCCCGAACACCACCTTCTCCCAACCGAAAGAGTTGGTTTTCTTTTTTTCTATTTCGGCAAGAGAGCGGACCGCCCCGAAGGTCTCCCGAAAGGATCGTTCCGTTCCGATCCGTTCCGTTCCTGCCTGCTGCCTCTCCGAAAGGGTTTCGTTTCTCGCCGTGTGCCGTGCCCGTCGGTCGTGCCCCTGGAAGGGGACGGCCGGACAAACCGCAAACGCCGCCCGATGCACGGATTTGGATTCGGATTTGCATTTGCCGAGCTTTTGTGTTGCGGAAAGACTAGTACCATACTAGTACTAGTAGTAGTACTTCGAGCCTCATCGATTTCTGGCCCGAACGTAACGATTTGACTAGCCACCCATGCCCCGTATCTGTATCTGTATCTGTATCTGTAAATGTGAAACCGTTGTTGGTTTGCTGTATCGGCTGCTACAACAGACAACAGTAGTTGTAGAAGTGCCATTGTTGCTACAGGCACATGGTGTTGCCCGTACCAGTACAAGCTTGTGGTTCGTCGCGTTTCTTCTGTTCGGAAAAGGGATCTTGGATTTGGTTCTTCGTCGTTCCCTGGTTTCGAAAAACCGCGTCGGTGGAATACTCGTAGGTTGGCAGGAACAACGAACCGTACGTACAATACGATACGATACAACAATAAGATATGTGATATAACTGTGGCGTCGCACGGTCCGCGCGTGTACCGAAATTGTAACCAGAAATTTGTACCTTGTTGAGCTCCGTGTAATTAGCAGGGAAAAAGTTTTGTACTGTGCGCTCGAGAGCTTTAGCTCGAGAGCGCACAGTACAAAACTTTTTCCCTGCTAATTACACGGAGCTCAACAAGGTACAAATTTCTGGTTACAATTTCGGTACACCAGTAACATCACTGAGGCCGAGAGCTTGCTCGAGACCGAAGTGAGGTTACTGCAAGTACTTTCTTCAGCAACACGACCACCAACAAGCTCGAGAGCTTTAGCTCGAGAGCTTGTTGTTGGTGTTGCTGAAGAAAGTACTTGCAGCGCTGGGACCGATGCGATGCCACAGTTATTTACGTAATCGATTGAGTAGCATCGGAATTACATGTATCCGTCGTGAGCTCGAGGTTACTGCACTGCTTCTTTTACGGACGAGAACGCTCACTGATACTACGGAGAATGCTGATACGATAGGAGGAGCAAGCAAACCGCTGATACGGTACGGAGGAGCAAACCGCTGATACGATACGGATGCTGCTGTTTTGCTTGTTTCCCCCTGCAAATCAATATTTCTACGGTATTTTCTACGTGAGTTTGTACTAGAATAGCAAAAAAGATCAGTTTTCATCGAAAACTGGTCACGATTTTGGTCAGTGCAGTATTAGTAGTAGTATTCAGTACTGAAAATTGTGAGCAACCAAGACAGCTTGTTTTTAGTGTTGTACCTGTTGAGGTGCAAAATGGGCGCTGTGCGCTTTTTTTTGTAACCAGACCCGCTTTTTTTTGTAACCACACTACTAGTAATATCGTGGAGAAAAGAAGGGCCTCTCTATAGGGAAGGGTTTGGTTACAAATACGGTTACAAAATTCAGTCCGCGCGCTGTGTAACCAGCTTTTTGTGTGTGTACTTAAGCAAAAAATAACTAGTCTTTGTTAGTGTTAGTTTTTTGTAACGCGCAGTAACTGGGAGTGCGCGGGTACATGTAATTTCGGTGCTACTCAACGGTTACGTACGTACCGAAGCAATGAAGAGTGAGTCAGTCCGCAGTCCGTACCTGTAGTACTCGTAAGTAATAGTAATACCGTAGTTCTGCTCCCGAAGCGAATCCACCCACCCACCGAATAAGAGATAGGAGATAGGAGTCCTCGTTCCTCGTACGGTACCTGGTACGGTACAACGGTAAGGTACGTAAGTCAGACTCGTTGGTATCGACCGACCGACGGACTCGATATTCTTCTCTTTCCCGCATCTATCACACCGTTCGTACCGGTACGTACAAGCAATTACTGGTATTCTTGTTGTTGGTTTTTCTTTTACGGCTAAAGTACTGGTACGTACTGCTCATAGTACAGTAGTGGAGAGAGAACGATAACGGTTTCCCCCCCGTTCGTTACTGGTTTCCATTTAAGCCTTCCCGAATTTTGATATTTGAATCCTGTAGTTTTGCCGTTGGTTGGGCGTTGGCAGAATGCCTCCACCGCGGGCAAGGTCGTGAATCCCGGTCGGTCGTGGTCTGCTTTGGCGATTTGTCGGCGGGAACTACCGAACAAGGATGCACGAATCGTATTCGTGCGTCAGCTACCGTAGGTACCAGGGTGTTGGCTTGTATCGAACCGTTAACCGTTACCCAACATACTGTTTGTTAGAAACGATAAATTTTCCTCTTCGCAACGAAGAGAAGAAAAACGGTGGGCACATCGCAGGGTAGTACGTACTCGTTCAATACTCGTACATACGGTACGTTGCGGCCGCAATTGAATTTTAAATCCCGTCCGTCTCGCAACGTGTGGGGAACGAGGCAGTGCCGTACCGTACCGTACGTAACGTACCGCACTTCGTTCCAGTAAGTACGAATAATACTGTAGTACTGGAACGAAGTCGTACCAGCGGACTCGGTGGAGTACCATACCCTACCGTACCGCACGTAGCGTACGCGTGGGCATACAGTACTCGTATCCTCTTCCGAGAAGCGTGACAACTGCAACAACCTGCACAACCATCGCAGCGCAGCCCTGTCATCTTCTGTCATGTCATTCACCAATTAAAATCCAACACAACAGATCCGACAGGTCTGCCTTGCCGCAGGGGAACTGCAACAGCAACTGCAACAGCAACAAGCAAGAGCAAACCAGCACTGCACACCACAGCCATTGTAGACTCCGCGAACGCTACCGTACGTACAGTACCTCACTCCGACGCCGGGAGCAATGCCGAAAAGAAACAAAACAGAACAGAACGCTAACAAACCAAACGGTAAGGCAACCTTTGACGACGAGAAACAATGGCGGCATGGTTGGATTGGATTGGATTGGATTCATTCGGTTGTGTTGTGTTGTGTTGTGTTTTGTTTTGTTGTGTTGTTATTGGGTTGTTCCGAGTCGTTGCCCAAGGCTTCGGCCGCAACGCACAACATCCCGTTCTAACGCCTGCCTTTTGCATTCCGATCCCGGTGACGGCAGCAGACAACACGCGACACGACACGAACCAAAGACAACACAAACGACGAGCGAAGCATGCCTTCTCCGGCGGCCTCGGAGCGCACCCCGCTCCTAGCCGAAGGGACCCTGGAGGCTGCTAGCCGAACGGCGGAAACCGAAACCAAAACCCTTGCGCCGAAACAGAAACAGAAACCCCCGATCTCCGACGATCCGAGGACCCCCCGCAAGTCCAACGGCACGGCGAACCCCAGGGCCAACCACCCCCTTCCGGTTCCCCTTTTCGGCCAGGGCACAAAGGCAAACACAAGCGCAAAGGCAAACACAAACACAAACCCAATCACAAACCGCTACAAACTCAGCAACCCGTTCTTGCAGAAAAAGGTGGAGGACATGGAGCTCCTGCTGTCGCAACCGGAGGTCGACCTGTGGAAACTCCGCGAGTTTGCCCTGTCCCCCGGGGGATTGGTCAACGGTGAGTTGGGTCTCGACGAGCTTGGTTTGGTTTGGTTGGTGCCACTTGCTGTTGTATATTGTATACACCGTACCGTGCCGTGTTTTGTGCCGTTTCGTGTTGTTTTCTTGTGCGGCAGGGTTGTGTGCCGATTGCTCGAACAGGTTGCGGCTGCGACTGCGACCGTGATTGCGAACCCGGCAAGCATTGCTGCACTGCCACTTACTGTATCGAACTAACCCAACATCCCCGTCGCCACCAAAATCACAATCGCAATCATACCACGATGCAACACGGCACGACACGACACGACGCGATGCGATGCCAACTATGATTCGATGCAATGGCAACAGACACGATACGGAAACGAGTATGGCCAAAACTAGTGGGTCTCGATCACAACTACGATCCCCTGCCCCTGGACCACATCGTTCTGGAACCCACCAAGGCGTCTGCGTCCGGCAGAGAGCGGGGCCTCCCCCCACAACACCACCAGCAACAGCAACAGCATCAGCAACATCATCCGCAGCATCCGCAACAGCCACCACCGCAGACCACCATCGAGATCGACGCCCAGCACGAGCTCCTCCAGCCCTCGGAGGACGAAAAGAAGGCCCTGCAGGAGATGCACTCGCAAACCCACAGGGATCCATCCCTTTTGCCGCCGTCGGGCACGCTGCTGGTCGAATCGATGGATTCCTCGCAGATCGATCGGGACGTGGCCCGGTGCACCTGGCACCTGCTCACGGGCAGCCAGCGGTCGAGGCGCTCCCAGCACCGATCCATCACCCAGAACAGCACGAGGGGGAACGAGTACCACAGCGCAAACGCAACCAGGAACCAACACCCAAAGCAGTCGCAGTCCAGGTCGTCCGCTTCCACTCCGACCTCGGCGACGGCGTCCACATCGATATCCACATCGGCATCGGCATCGGCATCCACGCCCGCTTCCACCCCCGACCCAAAACAACAAAGCCCAAACCGCATCAACCGCCGGGGCCACCCGCAAACGACCAAATACCGGAGGAACCGAAAGATCTCGGTCCTCTTGAAGAAGAAGCAGAGCCGACTGGCGAATCTCATCAACCTGGCGCTGGTGCAGAGCTACGATCGAAGCGATCGAGATGCCAGCGGCAATGGCAACAACAACAACAGCAACAACAACAACAACAGCGAGGCCGATACCGACACGAACGGGAACAGCAAGAACCGGCTGAGGTACTACCAGGGTTACCACGACGTGGCCTGCATTTTTTTGCACGCCCTCGGTGGGGGAGCGAGCCACAAGCCATCGAGCGCCAGCGGCGGGCAACACCACTATTCCGCGGGAGACCTGGAACTCCCCTCGAAGGTCCTCGTCCAGGTTTCCTTTAGCCACTTCAAGGATGCCCTGCGGTCGGACTTTTTGAGGTTGCAGACGGGGCTCAAGCTCATACTCTTTCCCTTGCTCCGAACGATTGACATGGAGATACACGATCACCTCCTGGATGCCGACATGGAACCCTTCTTTTGCCTCTCCTGGATTCTCACCTGGTTTGCCCACGACGTGAGAGACACGGCACTCGTCAAGCGACTCTTTGACGCCTTTTTGGTGGCACACCCGGTCCTGCCGGTCTACGCCGCTCTGGCCATGATCACCCATCCCTACAACCGACAGATCATCCTGGAGACGGATTGCGATTTTGCCGCCCTCCACCAGTGCCTGGCCTCGCTGCCAAAGCATTCCTGCAAGATTGGATACAAGGAGCGAAGGATGGACGGCGCCTTTGGAAACGTCGTCACGTACGTCTCGGACGAGGAGGGCGATTGCGGTGCCAGCACGAGCGCCTACAGCAACCACTACCACACCACGAGTGGGGACAACCACACGGTCACCACCAACACGGACACCTACCTGGAAGAACAGAGCGAATTCGACGACGACCTGGACGACGACGACAGCCACACGTTTGACACACGGAGCCAGTTCACCACCGAGACTCTGTACACGGAATCCTCCTTCCCCACCAGCATCCACAGCGGCAGCCTGGCGACCTCCTCCTCCCACAACGGCCCCGTCCCGACAAAACTCACCACCGGAGCCAGCCTGGCCAGTGGCAGCCTCGTCAGCCTGCACGAAGAATTCCGGCCCTGCCCGACCGATCGGACGATCATCTCCACGGAGCAACCCGATTTTCTCTCCAAGGAAAGCACCCTGGTCAGCGGGACCTGGAACGACGCATCCGCGATGGACGGCACGAGCACGGGGGCCAGCGGTGGCCCCGACCCGGAGAGCCCCAACCTCGACGGAACCAGCGAGGAAATCAACAACACAAACGGTGCCCTCTTGCTGGGAGACACCAACCCCGTTCCCTTTGAATCCGTTCTGGACACGGCCGTGCAGATCATGACCAAATACCCGCCGGGTTCCCTGGTCAAGCTGGCCAAGGACTACTACAGAGACGACTGGGACAGCCAGCTCTCCCTCCTAGCCAACCATGCGGCCGCCTCGGACGACAACGACCTGGACGTTCAGCAATTGATTGGCTTGCTCAAACCGACCCCCCCGGCGTGGTCCGTTCTCCCGACCTGCACCAGCGACTGGCTGGACAAGCAAAAGGTCCGCCAGGACATGGGACTCAAGCCCACCTCGCGGAAGGATCGCCGGCGGCGGAGGAACAAGAAGAACCCCACCGATGGCACTCTCTACAACAACACCAACCACCGTTTCGATCTGGAGGCCGCGGATTCCGAAACGACACGGTTGCTCTCCGTCCCCGCCACAACCACCGACGCGGCAGCAGCCGGCAACGACCCCATGGACTACGTCCGATCGAACCCCGAGGATCGGGCCGTCGCGGCCATTGGATACGCCCCCGGCCTCGAAGCCAAGAAACGCAAGCGGCGGCTGCTCCGGAACCGACGCAGGCGGAAAAAACGCCAGCGCGCCCTCGCAATCGGGTGCGGTGTGGTCCTCCTCGGGGGCCTCGTGTACGCGGTCGTCCGGTACAGCAGCAACCACCGAAGCATTGCTCCTCCCGAACACGGCATCGGCAACCGCCCGACCACGGTGGCGGATGGCGAGATTCCGAGCGAGCCACCCACGGCCCGGAGGCAGGAAGCACCCCTGGGGACGGACGGCGATTCAAGGGCAGGGAAGGACCAACACATGCAAGACGCGTCGGCGGATTCAAGAGCAAGCGCCTCGGACCGACCCGCCCGTGGATTGTCGTCGTCGTCGTCCATCGGAAAGGCAGAGAGGGACCCAACCAATGCGGACGCCGCGATGAAAACAGCCGCGGGCATTATTCTTCCCCGGGTCAACCAGCGGCTGGACCCTTCCCCCCCGTCGAGGGACAAGACGGCCCTGCCCGGGGCCGGAGCAGGCAAGTCCCCCGGCCCCCGGGAGACCGTCCGATCCACGGGTCCTCCCCACGGCTCGACCGCCCTTCGACCGAGGGCGGCGCTCGGGGACAAAAGGGCACACCACAAGACGCCGCTTGGGCTGGTGGCCGGGAACGAGACCCGCCGTGCCGGGCCGCCGGTATCGACCCTCGGGAAGCAGGGAACGACGATCCTCCTGGATCTCCTCACCCACACGAGGGCCAAGGCGGTGCGGTTCGTGCGCAACGCCTGGAACACCTTTCGCGGTTTTGTGATCCGCTTGGTCCGTCCGGGTCGGAACTAGCCGGGGAACGAATGGAATCGAATCGAATCGAATCGAATCCTATCCAATCCGGCAGCGTTGCGGTTGCAGCTCGGTTGCTGGACGGACATGGCCGCGCGGCATTTGAGTGCCATTCCTTGGAACCGTTGGATTGGAAATCATTGCGGAGTCTAGGTTCTCGCCGGTGCGATCGCTCTCGAGTTTGAAAATGGTTGGGAGGATGCAGCATGGGGTTTGGTCTAACAAGCATACAAATTAATGAAACGAGTGCTGTGCCTTGCCGGGCATCGTAGGTTTGAGTTTTACATTCTAGTTACATGGTCACGTAGTACTGTAGCTCTTTTTTGTGTATTAGCGGTATGTTCGGGATTTCGCAGCAAGCAAACTGTTACGAATCGATCACGAATGGATGGATTGGATTGGCATGCCGCTGTTTCTTATTTACATGGTGCGCATCGTTGGAGAGGAAAGGCGTTGTTTGCATGTTGCGCATCGCCGGAGAGAATTTTTTTTGGTTGGAGTGTGATCCCTGGGTGGGTCCTCCGGCCCCCACCCGGGGCTCAGCAGGAATCGAAGAGGCCCGGTGGTGGTTTCGTCGGGTCCACTCCTTCCTCGTACTCGTGGAAGCGTTCCACCACGTTCCGGAGGATGGTGCACACGGGGTTTTCGTACTCGTTGACGGGGAGGCACCCGCAAAAGGTGATGGATCCCACCGAGAAGACCTGGGCGCCGCTCTCTGGGACGCGGAAATACACCATGTCGGCGCGACTTGCGTCTTCGTTGGGGATCCCCGCCTTGTTGGTCCAGGGCGTGAGGACTTCTTCCGGAACCAGGGAAAGCCCGTTCCCGCTCCGGCCTCCGGAAGCGGGTTCGGCGCCGTCCCCCGGGGGAGGCGCCGACGACGCCAGGACCACGATGGTCCCGTCCTTGACCCGTGGATCGGAGGGATCGACACGGTCCAGCTCGTATCCCGCGGCCCCGCCGCCGGAGAGCCCGAAATCCCCGAAACACTCCGTCTGCGAGAGGGAGAGGCCGTGAAAGACCCACTTGGTAATGTCGGACCGATCCCAGCAGCTGCGGTAGTAGGGCTTGCCGACGAAGCCCCCCTGGGCGCAAAATCCAATCCCGACCAGGTCGTTGGGGGGCCTGCCGGCGTTGCGCCACAGCCCGCCGTAGCTCCCGCCGTCGAGAAAATTGTAGTACTCCCCGGGCTCGGAAGCCCAGGTGCGGACCCCGCCCTCGCTCCGCCGGATTTCCAGCAGATCGGGGTACGGGGAAGAAGGATTGGATCGGGCGTCGCCGCCGCTGCCGCCGCCAGGGGACACCGGTGCCGCGGCGATCTTCCAGTAGAACCCGTTCCCGCCGAGGTAGATAATGTTTCCGCCTTTTTCGTCCCGGAACCGCTGGAGGGCGTTTAGGCTCTCTTCCGTGTGGTACTCGGGGTGGGTGGCGGTGATGAGCGTCGTGTACCGATCCAGGGCTTCCACCCCCTCGGAGTGCAGCTCGTGGTCGGTGATGATGTCGAACTCGAACCCCTCAAAGCCGAGCCAGTCCAATATGTGGGCATCTGCCGGGAAGTGCCGCAGCCCCGAGCAATTGGGCGCGGATGGAGCATCGTCTTCGTCCGTTTCGTTTCCGTTGGTTTTGGTGCGGGTTCCCCTCGTTTCGGCGTGTTTCGAAAAGTCTCCCGGCCGGCCAAAGGTGATGAATCCGGGCCGCATGTTGAAGAGGGGCCTCCGGTGGGAGGCAAAGTGGATCCCGGTACCGTCGGAATGTGTGTTGTAGGTGGAGAGCCCGTAGGCAGGGTAGAGGGAGGGGTTGAAGGGGTAGGCACCCTCGGGAGAGGCCTTGGTGGTCCGGTCCGTCCACGCCTCGGCCTCGAACTCCGGCCGCGCGTGGTTTCCATACATAATGTACGTAAAGGTGGGGATCAGCAGAACGAGTCTCCTCTCCTTTGGTTTCGGTGTCTTCTCGTCTTTCTCCTCCTTGTCCTCCTTGATCAGCTCCTTGTCCTCCTCCTTGTCCTCCTCCCTGATCTGCTCCTTGTCCTYCTCCCTGATCTGCTCCTTGTCCTYCTCMYTGATCTGCTCCTTGTCCTCCTCCTTGTCCTCCTCCCTGTCCTCCTCCTTRTCCTCCTCCTTATCCTCCTCCTTATCCTCCTCCCTGATCTGCTCCTTTTCCTCCTCCTTGTCCTCCTCATTGACCTTCTGCTCCTGCTTGTCTTCCTCCTTTTCCTCTAGAGGCGCGGCTTCGCTCTGGGTGGCTTCGTCTCCGGCTCCGGCCGTCGTCTCCCGGGGGGCACAGATGAACAGGGGGAGTGCCTCTTCCCACTGCGGGTCGAAGAGGACCGTCGGATCCTTCGGTTCGAACCGCATCACGTAGACGCCGGACGGGATGCCCTCCGGGACCGTCCACTCCATGCTCGGTTCCCACCCGAAATCGTACACGTCGTCGTCGTGGAAGTGGATCGCCGAATAGTGGTCGGGCCGGTGCCTCCAGCAAAAGTCGCTCCCGTCCCAGCGGTGCCCCCTGACCCCCCGGGTGGGGTGGTGGTGGAGCACCAGGGCGTGGCCGTGGTGTTCGGAGTTCTTTGCCAGAGGCCCGCGTCCGGTGCGCTTGGCGCAAGACGGGATCGTCCAGAGATCCCCGCCGCCGCCGGCTCCGGAAGGCACGCAGGAAAAGTCCCAGGCCGCGATCGTGATTTCCTCCTCGTTCTCGTTCTCGTCGGTGTTGTTGTTGCTGTTGCTCTGACTGGTGTTGCTGTTGTGTCCGAGGGTTTGGGAGACGGAGGGATTCTCGAGCCGGCCGTTCAGCGAGCCGTTCCTGCCGAGACAGAACGGACCACTCGGCAGAAAGGCTTTCATGGGGGAGTCGCCGGGAAAGCTGGCGCCGTGCATTTCGTGCCAATGCCGGTCGGTGTTGCCGCCCTTGTCGACGTCGTGGACCGACAAGTGCAGCGCCACGCTGCGGCCGGACGCGATCAACGACGGGGCGAGCTTCAGGACCGCAACAACGTGGTACCAGCGTCGCTCCCCGAGGACCCTCGAGTGGGTGAGGGAAACCTTTCTCCCGTCCTTGTCGTAGACGAGCGAGAGGTTTCCCGTGGGCAGGAGGTCCAGCCGCAGGTCGGTGCCCCAGGACCAGACGTTCTGAACGGGTTCGTCTCGGAAAGCTTTGGTGCGGTGGCTCCCACCGCTCAGTTTCCTCCGCTTGGCGCAGGGGGGAAGGCTCCAGGCTTCGTGGTCGTGGCCGTTTCGTTCCGCGTGGACCAGGGTCGGACAGAACCACAAACGGACGGTGAGTTCCTGGTCCTCCACCGGATCACGGGGGGGATGCGGCTCGACCGACAGGTCCGACCTCGTTTCGGCAGAGGACCCCCCCGGGACCGGCTGGTGGCCCACCAGGATCGTGCGCTCGGGAAAGTGCCTCGATTCCTCGAACTCCTCGATTCCCCCCGTGATCGGATTGGGATCGGAGCGGACGATGCGGGTCAGCCGAGCCCTCACCTTCATTTTTTCGTCGTTGTCGTCGTTGTCGTTGTCGTTGTCGTTGTCGTCATTGTCGTCGTCATTGTCGTTGCTGTTAGAATTGTCCGTGCTGTTAGAATTGCCGTTGTCGTTGCTGTTAGAACTGCCTTTGTTGTTAGAACTGTCCTTGCCGACAAGCTCCTCCTCCTCCTTCTCCTCCTCTTTCTCCTTCTCTTTCTCCTCCTGCTCGTCCTCGTCGTCCGTGTTGGAGTAGAACCGGGCGTGTTCGGGGGCATCCAGCACGTAGCGCGGCGTTGAGAGGTAGAACCGGACCGTGTCCCCGGGCCTCGCGGAGAGCCGATCGGTGTAGCCGGCGATCGGGACCTCGTCGGGACGAGAGGGCTCGTCTTCCCTGCTCTTGTTGCCGAGGTACGGGATCTTGGTCCCGAACCGCATCATCCTGGCGTTCGTTGGCGAGAAAATCGATTTCGGTTTCGGTTACGCGGTGGTAACAGTAACACTAACACTAACACTAACACTAACAGTAACACTAACAGTATTTGTTCTATCCTGCGGCGGGGAGCAAGAGTATGTGTGTGTGTGGCCGCGTGCCGTGGAAGTTTCACAGACTATCGGAATGAGAGGAGTTTCTCTGTTTGCAACAGGGCTTGTTGTCTTTGATGCGATGCAATGCGATGCAAGTGCGAGTGCGAGTACAGCTTCCCATATCTTCCAGGGCACCAACAGACAAGGAGGGAACAGATCTTGTCGTGATAATAGACAAAGCACAACAGGCAGCAAAACTAACTCTAATTTTCGGCAGTGCGAGTTGTATACGGTACCGTATGGTACCAGGTACATACCGTACAGTAAGAGGTACGAGTACGAACTTACCTGCTACTTCTGTTATTCGTCAGAACGACTACGGTAGACAGACAGACACCTGAGACGTTTCTGGTCAACAACCTGGTTTTGGTTTTGGCGGTTGCATACCCCTCTTATTCTTCGTCCATACGTACGTACCATACGTACCCCATTCTGTTGGCAAATGGTTCGACATGAGAACAATAAGTACGAGTACTACTGTAGAAGCATCTATTTTCTCAATTACAGGAATTCGAACCACGACCAAAAGATACTTAATGAAACCTTCGTAGTTGAAAATTAATCCAGAGCCCATTTAGTAGCAACCTATTGATCAACGTTTGAAACCTGAGACCTCATAATGCCATAAAAGAATAGATCGTAATGCGAAGAAAACAATATGTTATTTCAATAGAATATTAAAGATCTGCAATGTCGAAGATACGCAAAGAATGTTTGAAACTGGGAAATTCAATCAAAACATTGACATGTGGGATATGTCAAAAGTGGCAGCAGCAAATGATATGTTTTATGATGTAGAGCACTTCAATCAATGCCTTTCTTCTTGGACGGAAGCATTCGAGGCAAAAGATTTGGATGACGAGAAGAACTTTAATTATATTTTTCATGGTACGAGTTGTCCTCTTGATGAAAGTGGCGAACCCCTTTTCCTTTGCCAGGGTAGTGATTGTGGTGGCAGCCCCATCGACAAGTGGGAACTCGTTGCCAGCGAAAAATATAATCACGCACATGTCACATCATTGGAGCCACTCTCGGGTTTTGTACTTTTTGAGTACAACAAGGATAACGCAGTTCTGCCAAAAGTAGAGATCTTTAAAATGCCTGATGGGTTGAACGAATGCAGCGAGGGCATCTCTGAAGATCTCGATGTAGAATTGGAATCCGTTCAAGATGCCGAACTTACAATTTGGAAAGGGGAAAACAGACATGGTGGAGCCATCTATTCTGATGTACAACAGCCAGGCTTTTCCTTAGTCACTGAAACTATGACCTCCGACAGATTAGACGCTGCAATTGGTAAGTTTTAAGTTCAGAAGGATATGTCGATCAGAACTGAACAATGCGGTTGTGTTTATCACCTTCTTTGTTCTCACCAATGAAATAAAAAATTAGTAGAAGTGAGTTACTCTAGCGCCAAAAGTAGCATTCTTGTTGCAGCTCTAGTTACAGTTGGATAAAAACCGATCGAGCGATAACCTACCGTACGGTACTTGTACCAATGGCATTCGGATCACACTCGGGTACTACGTACTGGTACTGATGCTTTCCAAGTTGAACGGGAACGTACACGGCAACACCAAAACGATCCCGTAGGAGCACAACAGGTGCGAATCCGACGCATAGACGATAGAGTACTACTAAAAAAAAGCAATCCTAGACAAAGTGTATAACCGGGTACAAACTATGTTCTCGTTATCGTGCCGATGCAATGCAGTGCAGTGCTACCTAACCACCACACCGCTCGACCAAAACCCAACAACGAAAGCACAGTGCACCACCGGGAATCCGTCCTTCCGGTCGGCCACCTACGCGGCTCCGCGTTCCTCCGGCACGCTTTCTTTCCGGACGGGCTTCCGCGGTGGCACCAGCGGGCGGAGGCGGCGGCGTGCTGCCGCAGCGCACCGCACCACAAGGGGGGGCTCTGGCCGCGGGGGTGGGAGGGTGTCTCCCCGCGACGGAACAAAACAGAACCCGGCAGCGGACCGATCGGGATCGATCGATCGACCGCCGCCCGCTGTTGGCACCGGCAGGATGCGGCGGGCTGCCTAGAGCTTCTTGGACAAAAAGTCCGTGTGCTCCTGGAAGGGGAGGGGCAGGAGGGCGTTCTCTGCCCAGAGCTCGGGGCTGAGGTAGCCGTAGGTGGCCCGGAGGGCGGCGTAGATGGCCTTGATGAAGTTACCCATGGTGCGGGTGTGCCCGGAGGAGCTAGAGTAGCAGTCGGTGATTCCGGCCATGCTCATGAGCTTCTTTCCGGCGGGGGAGGAGACCAGGCCGGTTCCGCGGGGGGCGGGAATGAGTCGGACCGAAACGGATCCGCACTTTCCGGTGACCTTGCAGGGGACCGTGTGGGGGAGGCCGGCGGTACGGCCCCAGTATCCTCGGCGGACCGGGACGATGTTGAGCTTGGCGGCGGTGATGGCCCCACGAATGGCCGTGGCGACCTCCGAGGAGCACTTGACTCCGAGTCCGATGTGGCCGTTGCCGTCCCCAACGGCGACAAAGGCCTTGAAGCGGGTGCGCTGACCGGCGGAGGACTGCTTCTGGACGGGCATGATCTTCATGACCTCGTCCTGGAGCTTGTCCTTGAGGAAGTAGTCGATGATCTCGGCCTCCTTGACGGGGATGGAGAACAAAAAGATCTCCTCGAGGGAGCCGATCTTTCCCTCCTTGACGAGGCGTCCGAGCTTGGTGACGGGAACCCAGACGTTCTCGTCGCGTCCCCCGCGGCCTCCGCGTCCGCCTCGGCCTCCACGGCCTCGGCCCCGTCCGCGTCCTCCTCGGCCGCGTCCGAATCCTCCTCGTCCTCCGTCTTGTGGCTTGTCGTCGCTCATGGTGTGGTGTGGTGTGGTGTGGGGTGGGGTGGTATTCGGTGTCTTACCTGTGCTATGGGAAGTGTGGTGTGGTGGATCGATCGGTGTGGGCCGGGAGGTAGGTAGGTTTGGCGGAGGGAGCCAGCAGGTAGCAGCAGGCGTTCGTACGGTACGGTACGGTACGGTACGTACGGTTGGGTTCCGTAGCGAGAAGCCTGTGTGGCCCCCACAACCGTTTCCACGGTATCGGTCTGTAGGTCGATCGAAGTTGTAGCACGGAACCGCACAAAAATAGAAACGAGAGGTAAACGGTAAAAAAAGAGGTACTGTACAAAACAGTACGGTGCGGTACGTATGGTATGTATGCTTGGTGGAGTGTAGGAACGGAAGGTACCGTAGGCAATAAAATTGAGTCGATCGAATCAATCAAAATTCAAAATCCAATGACGTGCCTTGTTGATTGACTGTTGGCCTGTTGGCCGATGACTATCTCGTTGTCTCAATACCTACGATTCGTATGTAGGAAGTAGGTGGACCCGAAACTAACCGGAACCGGAAAGTGCGCACTTTGGATTTCGATTGACACTTATTTGATTGATAGGGGAGGGGGTGTGAGTCAGCGCTCGGGGGTCGGTCAGAAATCAGCCACAACACCCGACACCGTTTCGATCTTCGATCCATCGAGGACTGCAAGCGATACCAGTACGAGTACGAGTGCCGGTACGATCGAATGGCTCGCTCACTCACTCACTCACTCACCCCTGGGTGGTGTTCTGTGACAGCATCGGTATGGTACCAGTCCGGTGGCACCCTACGGTACACGGCTCGTTGTGGTTGTTGGCATCCACGTTCTGTTCTCACAAATCTACCAATCCAAAACCAAAACCAAAACCACCCGCAAGATGAACAAACCCACCGCCTTCCTCCTCCTCGCCCTCGCCCTGGCCAGGGGCTCCCTCGCCTTTACCACGAGCGGTCCCCGCTCGGCGCTTTCGGCCCGGGCGGCCCCTCTTCCCGTGAGCGAGATGCCCACCCACCAAGGCGCAACGTCGACCTCCCTCAACCTCAAGGTCAAGGTCGATCCCAACGCCAAGACCAAGAACTCTGCCGGAAACGCCAAGGCCGCCGCCTACGGTGGATCCATCGCCATTGCCGCCCTCTTGCCGGTGATCTTTTTGGTCTGGTCGGTCGTCAACAAGGGAAACTAAGCAAGCAAAGCAAACCATAGTATAACCAAACCAACCGAACCGAAACCGATGTTGTTTGCTGGTCGAAACGAAATGCGACGCAATCGGCATCGGACGAAAAGAACCGAATGCACGAGAGAAAACTTGGTTGTTCTCGGTCGAAACCAATCCAGTCGAGTCGAGTCGAGAACAACGCACGCGTGCAACAAAAATTGTAGAAGGAAGAGAGAATGGTAGCTCCGCTGTGTCGTCCACGGCAACGGGGAATGGAGTCGAAATGGGTGAGGAAAGCTCAACCGAAACGAAACGAAACGGGCGGTTTCGTTTTGCAGGGGATCTGGGATCGTTCTTAACGATCGGAATGCTGTCGATGGCTGTATTAGGCTGTACATGTTATGACCAAGAGCAATCCCTAAACAAAAGAAAAACTAAGAAATGGAAAACTAAATGAAGAGTCCACTTTTGTTACAATTGTTATATTGATTTATAGCTAAGAACGAAAAAATATGTAGTGCATTGTGATCATGAATGTACAGGGCGCAGATGATACAGAAGACAGTGATTTGTGTGGGGAGCAAGGAAACAGTCATGAGAAAGATTGCCATGAAAGAAGCAAAGAGGACTAGTTGCCTCCCGTGTGGCTGTTCTCCACGCCGATCGAATCGAATCGAATCAAAACGCAGCGCGACCAACCGAAACCGATCCAATCGCTGCGGGGAAGGGCGTTTCCCATTCGCTAGGCGTACTCGTCCACGAATAATCCGTCGCCGGGACTGCCCGCTCCGCTTGCCCTTGCGACCGACGCGGGCGGCGGATCCTCCGGTTCGGCCGCCACAAGGCCTCCCTTCCGGGAGCCGAGCGGCGAACCAGCGGGACCGCGAAAGGCCGCCGCTGCGCCAAGGCCCAGCAGAACCAGGCCGCCGGCCGCACCCGACAGGATCCAGATCACGCGGGCCCCCGGCCCTTCGTCAACGGGCTCCGCTTCCACCACGACCGTGTCCATGGCCTCCCGCACGAGCGGCGGGAGGAGGCCACCGGCGCCGGCCTTTTCCGGCTCGAACCTCGCCACGTAGGTTCCCTCCCGCTGGGAGGGACCGAGGTCGAACCACAGGACGTCCCCAAAGGCATTCGTGGCGGCGTTGGCATTGGCATTGGCGTTGGCATTCGCGTTGGTGCCCCCGCTTCCGGGCAAGACGATGGGAGGGCTCTCAAAGACCGGCTCCCCGCCGTGGGTGACGACGATGCGGGGGTTCTGGAAGGAACCCGCGGAAGAAGGATCGCTTTGGTCGGCTTCCTGCTGGTGCGGGGCGTATCCGGTGTGGTCCCAGGTCCGCGACAGGGAGTCCCGAGGGGCTTCGTCCTCCTCGCCGGCCGTTGTACCGGCCCCCGCTTCCGAAAAGGAGGCCGACCCCAGGTGGTAGGCCAGCTCGATCACGGTGTTCTCCCCGCTCTCGGGTTCGTTGCTGCCGCTGCCGTCGCTGGTCAGAAACATCAGAAAGGCGTCCGTCTGCCCAAAGGCCAGAAAGGCCTGGCTCGGGTCCTGCGGATCGCAGGGCAAGAGGGAGACGGCCCCGCTGGGTTCCGCTGCCACGCAGTAGGGATCGGTGGTGCTAATGTCCCTGAGGGTCACCGGGTCGAGGACCCTCGCCAGGGACCGGACCAGCCCGTTGCGCTGGACCAGAAACCGGACGTTCCGGTTCTTTTGGCTTTCGCTGTCGTCGCTGTCCGGACAGTCGACTAGACCGAGTGGGTAGTGCCAGTGCCCCGCAAGGGAGTGGTGGTTCTCCTTCCAGAAGGAGAACCGTCCCGACGAGCTTCCGCCCCGGTCCTCCACGAGTGGCGAAAGGCATTGCGCTTTGATGGCCTTTTTGTTCTCGCCCTGGCCTTCTCCACTCCACGTTGGCTTGGTGGTCAGCAACCCCCTGGAGGTGTAGATCCATTGCTGCTTCTCCGTTCCGATTTCGTCGAGGGGGCCGATCGCGGGGGCTGCCCCTTCGGATCCTCCTCCCGCACAGCCGCCGCTGCTGGTCCGGCTGGAAGCCGATGCACCCAGGCCCATCTTCAGCATGGTCGTTTGGCCCTCGTTGTTGTTGCTGCTGCTGCTGCTGCTGTTGCACCCTTTCTCTGGTACCGCCAGGCATCCCCTTTGCTGGGTTCCACACAATGCGATCGTTCCCCGGGGATTCTACAATGACCAGACCCATGACAAAACGAACGCAAGAAAGGATTGAATTTATCGCAACAAACCAGTACGGTACAAAAACATCGCGAAAGAAGTGAGTCATTGGAAGTCAGTGCAATACCCTGGTCGATGCATGATACAATTCAATAAAACTTCGGCACAATGCAATGGAATCCAACCAGTACCCGGCCAAGCCCAACACAAACCAACACACAACCCAATTCCACAACACCCCAATGGACCCGGCGTACCTCGTTGTCCCGACCGACGGGATGGTACTTTCCGAGGTACACTTGCGGCGCCGCTGATTCTCTGTCCCTGTCTCCGTCTGCGGCCGCCTTGTGTGCGGTGTGAAGGGGCACCCTTGCTTCCACCACGCTTCGTCCACCGCCTCCGTTTGATGCCGTCCAGATCGCAAGAATCGCGATTGCAACGGTAGCCATCGCCGGCATCCGGGCCGTCGTTCTCCTTCTCGGAATCAGGAATGCGTTCCTACCGGTGGCTATGTGATGGGAGTTCTGTGCCCTCATTATAGATAGTGGATGGATGGATGGAAGGATTGATGGTTGTTTGTTCGTGTTTCGTTTGTTGGATTCGATCGTAATAAGCTAGTCCGTGTAGATGACAGCTTGCAAAGTGTTCTGATTTGTGTTGTCGAGGGGCGATGAAACTTTGAATTCGTGACAGCGTGACATAATCGATGGAACAAACCAGTTATTCCTTCTTCTGCCGGAATTCCGAGTACGTATTAGGTACGGTACGGTACTGGGCGTACACGGGTTATTCAAAGTTTTTCTTCGTTCCCAGGCGGAACAAGAAATTCGGATGGCGTCACCGTTTCCAAATTTAACAACAGTGAATTCATCGCCGCCTCAACACGAACGTACCCGTGTCAGAATACCTTAATTAGCAGGGCTATCTTAATTGTAGACGAAGTACCGTACTTCTTACTGGCGCGTTATGTTGTCAATCCCTGAACTTTCGTGCGTACGATATTCCTGCGGTATTCTTAAAAATAGAATGCTTCATCGATTCGTTTCCGTTCGTATTCTGATTCGTGCGCGCGCCATCGTTGCCACCAATGATACGGTAGGTACGATAACACATAATGGTACTATCATAGTGCCGACATCCAGAGCCCGGTGTTCAGAGTCATCTCCAAATCTTAGGGAACCTCCGCACTTGCTTGCACCTATTGATCTTCCGAAACACAAACAATACCGCTTGATTGCCATTCATCGTATGACACCCTTTGGTCGAAGGAGAAGCTGCGGTGCTCCGCTGTTATCTGCAAGCATGCCCGTTACTCTCCGGTAGATATTTTTTTGTTTACTACGGCAGTGAAACAGGTTACGACGCCGAAACAAGCTAGAGTAGAAAGATGCTTTTGGAATTGGCATCTGGTACTAGACGAAAAAGCGTTGGCTTACTTGTCTTACTGTGCGGAGGCACAGTATGCCGGTATGGAACTCCTAGTGGTAGCTTCAAGTTATCGCGCGGGTTCGGAATGAGAAATCTGCGGTATGGGAGCCAGTACGGTGTTTCTAATTGACTTGTAACAGTAACTACGAACTAAGAAATGTTGATTACCCGTCAGTAATGTTAATAGCCAGGGCGAGTTTTAATTAACAGTTCTGTGATGCCTCTTCGAAAAAATGGTCACTTGTTTCGTGAAGTACCAGTCCACAATCTAAGGACTAACAATTATTGTGAGAATAGACTATCGTGCAAAATCCAAATTCCAATGCTACTATGACTTCCAGTGGAAGAATACAGTGCCCTTTTTCGTCTTTGTCCCAATCCAACACAATGACGAACAAAAAGTATATGCGCATACTCGAAGAGTTGGGGACGCCAAAGAAAACATAACTGTTCTCGGAATACTTACCTAGATTTTTAGCTCCCGCTCTGTTCGGACCAAAAACCCAGTGATTGTGACCGAGCAACCGCGGCGAATGCGAAGCATCCCACGAGAAGCATCCCACGAATTGGGTCGCTTCGACGAAAAGACCTCGCGATTGATTCCCGTATAGCAGATCCCCGCGACCAAAAACACACCGAGCATCGGCGTGTTCTACGGTATTCTATTACGGGATCCTACGGCTATCAATTTGGCATCGCGGAACCGGTTCGCCGATTTCTCATTTACATTAAGTGCACAAAAATCCAAAATATGGAAAAGGCATCAACCACGATTAATACTCCAGTCGTGATGTGATGATACGGAACATGCCAACCGTTGCGTGCAGTACTTAGCCCACGAGAGATACGCATACAGTAGAATCTATCCTGCTCAGGCGGAAATGAAATCGATGATGCGTTCATTCCTTGAAAGAAAAGTTCGCCGATGTACAATCCATTTTCATCGTGCCACTGTCTCATAAAATTACATTCCTTGAACATCAATACCAAACCAATAATCAATCTGAAAGAAGAACACAAGATAAGAAATCTAAGCGACTGCTCAAAAGGCAATCTGTTGAATATCTGTCTAACCAACTACAATCCCAAGAAACGTAAATACAAATAAACAAAACTACTACTAATTATTTGTTGCAATGAAGCTATCGGGAAACCAAGCAACGAAACAATTCCTTGCCGCCGCATCGATATCTACCCTCGGTGGTAGCCTCGTCTCGGCTCGCATCGGAGCCGGTTTGAAAGCAGCGCCGCTGAAACATGGGCATGATCCCACGACGTCCATAATATCTCACCAACGGCTACGCAACCAACAAGATAACCCACAAAGAGATCAGCAACGAGAATTCTACTACGAGGCAATAAGGAAGGCCGTTCTTGAGAAGGACGAGCAAGAGACGCACCACTTGCTCCGAAATAGCAGCTACACCACCCACACATACGAAAATGACGTCGATCATTTCGATGACGACGAAGCCGATACAGGTGTCCTGGATCCCTACTACAGTCCAGCAGAAAGTCCCAGCCTCGATAGCTACCAGACTACGAGCACTACTTTGCTGAGCAGCACGTGCATGATGGGAACCTATGGCGACGACCTTTACCCCGCCGGAGACTACCTGCAGAGGGTAATGGAGACAGAGGGCGCCTTCTACTGGAACATGCTCTTCGACCAAGAGACCAACACCGTTACCTGCATCCAGGATCGAAACCTGGACGCAAAACACCAATTGGGCTGCTCCAATATGTACTTCAAGGGGTGCAGCGTCGTCAAGTGCCTCGGAAAGGAATCCTGTTTCGACACCAAAATCCGGGGGGCCGATCGCATCGAGTGCGAGGGCTTCGAGTCCTGTGCGAACGCCAACCTCGACGCACCCTCCATCGATTGCGCCGGTGACCGGGCCTGCATAAACGCAATCGTCGGAGACAAGGACAGTCTGGTGACCACGCTCGATTGCCACTCCGGGCATTCCACGTGCGCCTACCTATCGGCCTACAAGGTCGACGAGGTCTTTTGCACCGGCCCCAAGTCTTGTTACGGAGCACAATTCGATGAAGTCGAGTCCAGGGTCTTCTGCCAGGGGATCCCCCACCCAGATGGGTACTACACACCAACCTGCGGAGGGCACGATGCGTTCATCGAGGCMGCCTATGGCAAGAACATCGACGTGGTGTGCTCCGGAGATTTCTCCTGCTTCGGATCCGGGCGCGGGGAGGGCTTCGAAATAGACGTCGGCGACCACGGGAGCGTCACCTGCGAGGGATCTCCATACGGCAACCACGATGGCGGAACCTACGTGTGCCGATTCCTCGACATCGCTCAGGGCTGTGGCAGCTACCAGTGTAAGGAACCGGCTCTGGCCTTCGAGAGAAGCGACTTTCCAACGTGCAACCACATCTACAGCGCCGACAGCAAAGAGATGTGCACTACAAACTTTGACACCGGAGTTGAGAGGAATTTCTTTGAAGGCTTAGGAAATGACGATGACGACAACTTTCAGTTGGAAACATTCCCGAAGCTTATCCACAAAATTAATAGATAGATCGAGACACTCTCGTTCATAGACAGCATACACTAGATAAACGCATTCACATGCTTACAGAATAAATGTAAAATAAGATAAAACTACAACATACAAAATGAAATTCAAGAGCTTCAAGAAAAGAGTAGCGTAGTGAAAGAAAACCCTCTTTGGCATCCAACTCCTGGAATTTTGGGAAGAAAGCTATGAGGTCTGTAAATGTTGCAGACACACAACCACATATGCCAAAAGAAAAATGAGGCACGACGACTTTATGGTTGCACCTCATGTAATATTTGTAGTAGCATGTCTCAATTTAGGACCCCTACTGCAAGCGCAAATCTGGGCATAGGCTCCTAGGTTTTTGAGAATAAAAGTTAATTTATTCAGTAGTAGTACATCCTATAGAGGGTGGTGTACATTACTATGCCATTTCTTCCGTGAGTCAGATCAAGGAATCAAATAAATGCAAGTCAATCAGGTCATCATTCCCAAAGGAACCCACTGCCCTCAGTTGTAGGCTTGGGTCTGAATGGCATTTCAAGTGACCAACAAAGTTTCTTCTACATAGTTGTTGAAGAAGTCTTTTACCCACTTTTCTGGATTCTAGAAATCAAATCTGTGACTGACTACATAAAGAATTCAGTTACTTTGGTGAGCCAGGAAAAAGAATTGACTGGTACCAGAACAAGAAAACAGTAGTACTAGGATAAAATATTTACTTTTGGGTTCTGAATCTGGCAGCTCCATAGCTACTTTTGTTTTGGCATTGGTCATAGAATTCCTTCACAAGAACTTCTTAGCTTTCACCAAATCATCAGAGCAAGATCAATTTTTAGAGGGATCTTCAACTGTTTTGTCCTAGCAACAATAGAATCAGCACCAGCATCATCAGCACCAGCATCATTCACCAGCATCATTCACCAGCATCATCACAAGAAAAGAACAAGAACAAGAACAAGGAGAGCTCTCATTTGATGCTAATTGATGATGAACAAAGAAAAAGAACAACTCATGCAGCAGCAGAGCAACACTTCCAATCAGACTTGCAAGGCTTTTGAACTTCATACATATACTCCTCCTCATACAGTTGCTGAGTAAGTATTTCTTGCTGTTTCCTGCTACTGTTCAAAGTTCCTGGCAGTGGTACTATCCACTACTAGTAGCTACTAGTAGTAGTAGTAGCTACTACTACTACTACTACTACTACTACTACTACTACTACCAACCCCACTAGTAGTAGTAGCACTACTACTGGTGGCTAACAATATACTACCCTTCAACATCCATTTTTTAGTAAGAAACCAGTTCAGTCCCTACTAGTTAAAATCTGAATTAGTGCCCATCCTTCATCTTCTTAACCTCTAGTACTCTTTTCTAGTAGTAACAAGAAGAATATGATGTTGTTGTTTTCTTTTTTGAAAAGGTATACCAACAAGAAAAAAGTCTAATAATCATGTCTCCCACTAGTAGGCCTCCCTAAAAAGCTTTTGTGGGGGAGCAACCAGGTTCTACCATGGATACTGCTGACAAGCCAACTCTTGAGGCCTGGGACTGGACTGACAGTTTGGATGGATGAGAGCTAAGCCATTATCATTTCAAAGTGCACTGCCAAGCCAGAAGGCAAGTCCCTTGCCTGCAGTGATCAAGGAAACAGGTGCTAAGCACACCACCACTGCAAAGCAAATTAAAGCAAAATCTCCTGCAGTGTGCAAAGAAGCAGATGGAGAAGAAGTAGTCCTAGTAAAGCAGAAAAATTATATAAATCAAAGCCAAGAAAAGAAAAATAATGCTAATAGATAATTATTGCAATGGAGGTAGAAGTGCCAATGGTGGCAGTATTGCTGCAGGAGCAACTGTCCATGAAGCCCCTTCTTGGAGAAGGAGTCACAGACAAGAGCAGGACTGGTGCTGGGGATAGATCAAAAAGATCTAGAGTGGGCTCTGGGTGGGTGTTGTTGCTGTCCAACTTGAATGAAGGAAACAACAACATTGTGACTGTAATACACTGCTTCTGTTTAGGAAAAGGAGCTGTGCTATGTAGCTGCTGGGGAATCCTCTTTCAAGTGAGTAGCATTTACTACTAGTAGTATATACTCCGATCAGTGTTCTATCAAAGAGTGCTGGTCTGGGGTGGATATTGGGGGTTGGGTTGTTGTTGGTGTTGATATCTGGTAGTACTACAAATGTCAAACACCAACATTGTGACCTAAGAACTGGGATATTGTTTTCAGACATGTATGTTGGAAACAATTGTGGCTGAAAAGATCATCTTGGTTGAATACTGCTAGGAACTGGGGTTGTTGTTGTTGTTGTTGTTGTTGTTGTTGACAAATATTGGAAACAACAACATCATGACTGGAATCTTCTTCCAGTCCACAAGAACTTGGACATGTAGCTGAGGCTGGTGAATCTTCAAACTGAGAATGTAGTAGCACAAAGTTTAGGTGTTTTTCTTCAAAGGAAAGATCTTGGTTGAATACTACTAGGGACTGGGGTTGCAAATGTTGGAAACAACAACATCCTGCTGACCAGACAAATCATCTGGTTTGTAGGCTGGTAATTGTTAGAGTTTCTGTCCATCACTAGTACCAAGAGGCACAACGCATATGCTTCTCAGCACTGGAGTAGTAGAAGAAAACAATACTCAATGCACAGCTTTTAGATTTTTGTTAACCCAAATTGGTATTTGATAGCACAGATGTCAGTTCTTCAGCACCATTTGTTTTGCCATTTTGGCACCCAGCCATTCTATCCCACGGAATCCTCAGAACAAGAAACTAGCTACTATTAGTGTGATTCCAGTAGCATATGAATCTATAGCACAAGCACCCCCTTCCAATATGATATAACAACTAGTAGTACTTTGAAGTAATAGTACTGTAACAAATAATTGGTCAAATGGCTGGAAAAGAGAACTATTCAAGAAAATATTGGTGTGAGACTGGATTTTGCACTATTTTGGCAATTCTGGTGACCCCAAGTAATCTACCCCACAGAATCCTCAAAACATACAAGAATTTTCCATCAGCAGGGAGGTGGATTTTCCCCTTCTTTGGAAGGAGATGTCATCACGGATGCCAGTAGAACAAGGTGCTGCTGGTCAGGTAGTTTGTACTACTGTATTTAGGGATCAGTAGGAAATCTTGGTGATAATTTCCAGAGCCAAAGTTTAAGTTTGTGTACTTGGAATTTTTTTAAAAATTATGACGGTAAAGAAACAGCAAGAGGAGCACAACACCAACAAGACAAGAACACCAGCACCAGTGCAACCAGCAAGAAGAAGCAAGAATAAGGGCAATCCAACACTAGCAGTACTTGCACTATACTAGGAGTAGTAATACTAGTATTCTACTAGTACTAGTACTAATAGTACTATTTCATCCTCACTCCTCGTCATATCAAATAAACAGCAACTGGTGGAATGCTTACTACTAGTACTAAGAAAATTTTAAGGGAAAAATTCCTTCAGCAGCTACTACAGCTGCAACAGCAGCAAATAATTGTGTTTCTTTTTACTGCGTCAAAGTTGAATAGTTTTACACTTCTTGTTCGTATTACTAGTATGCAGCAGCAGCAACAAAAAAATACTAACAATAACAATGGCAATGGAAAAATATACAAGTACCCGAAGTACTTCTTTTACTTCTACTTCAATAGGAGGTATTTTAGAATTTCAGACACGTCGAATACGACTTCTTTCTCGTGCACTGTAGCTGCGCCACTGTGCCAAGTCACGTCAAGTCAAGTCACTTCCCGGTGCGGTACAATTGCTCTTTCTGATACAGCATGATATTCGCCAAAACTTGATCATATGCCTCCTTCATAAAGCTGTGCCTGTGGACGGATTTCGGCCACATTTTCTGCATTAGTTGCCTTTTTCCGAATTAATGGAACTGAACCTCAATCATTCGTTGCTTTCGATAGTGTGTATGTATTATTGTCAATTATGCAATCTTTCCTTTGTACTTCCATTGGACACTTAGGGCAATCCCCAAAAATATGAAAAAATAACTATTCTCGTTTACAAGCTGAGGAACAATTACGTTTACTACCTTGGATTGCTTTGTACCTGATAAATATTCACTTCAATCCATCAATATTCGACCATTACAAGAGACGCCATTATTATTCGACAACAAACAACACACCTAGCAGTTTAGCTCCGCGTCAATTTCATTTGAATGATGCCTAATGACGAGAATGAAATGCAAACAGAAGTTTGGTGTTTTAGAGAGGACGACATTTTTGTCAACGTAGATGACGGGAATGGGGACGAGGACGAGGACGCGGACGAGGAGGAAGAAGGAAACGAAAACGACGCAACCTGCCATGATATCATTGTACCGAGGAACTTTTTATGCATGGATGCCTTAGGGCTCACGAATGAAATCGACGACGAAGTATTGTCGTTTTTGTATGACTTTGACACGACGACCGGATTGCTCCAAGATGAAGAAGAGGTGAAGGAAGAAGAAGGTATCGAACAGAAAGAGGAAAAAGAACAGGAAAGGGAGGAGGAGGAGGAACCAACAAAAGCATTGAATCATGACAAACAAATTATATCGTTTGACGCATCTTCGTCATCCCTTGTTATGAAACCCGAGAGGGACGCCTCTTATACTCCTATCCCAGAGACCCATACTCAGAGAACTCAGAGAAGGGGAGGACTAAGATCACGCCTGCGACTGCTGAGACTGGGAAGAATCGGGCGAAAAAATTCCAAAAAGGAATCAACTACTTCAGCGGTGGTAGATTGTTCGTGTTCAGCAATTAGCTCTATAAGTGGCGCCAGCGCATCGCCCAATGAGTTGAATCCGACTGAAGAAGAAGAAGAACCTGAGACCACCGCATTAGAGGAGAAACAACAAAGCATCAACAACAGCAAGAAAATCGAATGCAACGCGACCCATGACGATACCGATGACGACAATAGTAAACACTCTCCAATTCCGCTGGTGCTATCTGGAAGCAGCTTTGGTGGAATTTTCTTCGACCGAAAAGAAAACATAGAGTATGATTTTGATGACGATGCGACCGAGATCCAAAGCAATGTTTCCTCCAAGAACAGGTGCAGATCTCATACTACCAAATCGGAACAGTTTAGTCATTTTACTTACAACGAAAAGTCCGACACGAGTTATACTGATAGTGGTAGTTACAGCGATGACACCCGAGATAGCGCCAGTTTCTCGGCAAGTAACAAGAGTCATTCAAATAGGAATCTGATTCTTTCGAGCGCAAACAATGCCAAAAACGACAATAATGGTGAGTTATTGAGAACGACGACCAAAGTAAATTCTTTCTTTCGCAATGGGGTTTGGAGCAAGAAAAGTAAGAGCATTAGCTTCAGTTTGAAGAGCAATATTTCAGGACGAAAGTCTACGTCATCTGAATTCAAAACGGAAGGAAATGACGACGAGTCATCAAAGGCTTCCACTGCTCAGGAACTGTGGCAAGCACGAAACGAGGTGCGGCGAATCAAACAACAGAAACAGAAGCACACCAAATACAAACGTACAATTACACCAACTCTTGTTCACGCTGGGAATAATAGCCAGCAATTTAATTGCGACGACGATCCGATAACTGAGGCATCACCACTGGAGCCGGTCGTTAACACAAGAAAGGAGGAAAATCCTGTCGACGTTGCCGCGCTGCTTCTCAATCAGCACAAGGTAAAAATTGCTCGGTGGAAGTCGGAACAACTAATGAAGAGAGCAGTGGCGAAACTTACTGATTCGGCGGACGAGATGATCGAAACTGTATTGTTAGTTGGCTTTGACCACGAAGATTCATACGCCATACAGTTAAAATCTGTTCCGTTGTAGTTGGACTTTCGACGAAAAAAGTGCAGATGTAGAAACAGAAGAATAATATTTTTTACCCGTGACAAGTACTGCAATGAAAGTACCCATTTATGTCATAATCTTGGAACAAGCGCATCGTTAATTTAAAGGTAGTACGGTAGTACTAAAATAATATCCATATATTACTTATTATAGTAAAAAAGGGTTATTCAAAATTCAGGTGCATTGCTCCGGCCCTTGAACAAATATGAAACTATCTCCGAGAATTTTCTCCGGGTACCATCATATTGTCTAGAATGCGGAGATAAGTGTCAAGGACCGGAGCAATGCATCTAAATTCATAGCCACGCGTAGTATGGAACAGATTAAACTCATTTATACCGCTCGAACAAACGTGATCGCATTGCCATAGCAAATGTGTACTCAATGTCATGTCTGCAAAATTCATCATTCCCTTGAATGCGTCTTTAAAATATTGCAGGTACTTTCGTTGTTGTGGCTCGACAGTGCCGCTGTGTCGCACATATCTCACGCACGTTAGTGAAATGGTACCAGAACTCAACACTTCATTGATAATCCATGTGTGTCTAAACCATGAATTTATGTCTCAAAGAAATTTCAGCGATTTCAGTTCAAACTTCATGCATGTCTCACTCTCGGATAACTTGATGCGATTGATTGTGGAGTGAACCATCATCTCTCAGCGATTCAACAGTTTCATCGTCATCTCTGACCCAAGAAAAGGAAGTATTAGTCGTTCCAAGTGAATCCGCGTCGTAGTCGTCGTACTCAGCACCGAGGAGTCCATGCATTGCGATGTCGCGGATGTCATCTAGGAAGGAATTTTCCCTACTTGGCGATATTACGGGATCATAATGCGATGAAATTATAGTCTCGGCAATCGTATTGTTTTCAATCGTCAGGACATCTTTGGAACTGTGCGAGTCGTCTGAGCTTTTGTGTACTGTTTCCACATCTCGTGTTCGAACTGTGTCGTTCCTGCCAATTCCTGTCGGTTTTCGTGTTTTCTCTTGTGTTTTTTCTCTCCAGAACTTTCTGGCCTTCGAGAATGCAACGCCACTATTGGCAAGGCTGTTTCGTTTGTTGGCGCGATTTGCGCCGAATCGTTTTGGAATCCGAGTGTTGGTAGAGGATGGGTTTCGATCCTCAACGGCAGAATTCATCAACACGGTTTCGATGGGCGGATCGGGAGTTTCGTCCATCGTCACAGTGGCGTTCACAAGAACATTGCTCGCAATGTCAGCACTTGAGTGTGGCTTTTTCTTCTTGATCGATGACAGAGATTTGCGGAAAGATTTTGAGAGAGCCTTTTGTGCTGCGAGAAAGTGCTCGCGCTTGGGAGATGCAATTCGATTGTCTTGCGCCTGTGGAGGTGAAGTATTATCTTTAGTTACGTCTGTTTCGCTTTCTAGATTAGACTTCGGTGAATTCGTTTCAATGTTGATGAGATCATGGGTATCCCCTTCTACATCTCTTTGCTCCTTGCCCTCGTTCGTATTTTCGTCCTCCTTATCATCATCTTCGGCGAACGAATCCAGTTGGTCTTCATTCATAATCCAAGCATCGTGGTTGTCTTTCGTGCCAATAGAAGAAGAAGCTTTATCATCAACTTCTTTCAAAGTAGAAACTGCAAGATTGACCTTCTCATCTGAATCACAGTTTTTATTGCCTCCCATGTTCCAAGCCCAATGCTGAAGCCCCATCACAGATGTAGACGAAAGGTCTGCCATTGTGATTACATTACTTCTATTCGAAGTTGGACTGGTGGAATCTTCGTTGTCGCTTTTTGAATCATCATCGCTTTCTGAATAATCAAGCGTATCTTTTGACTTGTCGGTGGTTTCTTCACTGAAGCCAGATTTGTCTGTAGTTTCCTCATTGAAGCCAGATTTGTCTGTAGTTTCCTCACTTATGATAGGTCCGGGAGTAGGTATATCCTCTTCTTTCACTTCATGCACTTCTTGTGACTTGTCGATCACGTGGATTATATCCGCTGGAATTGCCACCTCTCTTGAAGATATGCGACGGGTGGAAGGAATGGAGACCATCAACATCTTTTTCCAGGAAGGACGTTTTGGCTTCGACATGGAGGAGATTGATCGGTTGCTTCTTGTGAGTCCCAAAGCTTTCTGCAATCGTCGTTTTCGAAGATTTCTTACTGTTCTTTGAGATACAAGCGATTTTGATCTGGCGTCATCAAGAGCAAATTTAGTGCTTCCTTGATCTTGTGTTTCGTTTTTATTCTGGTGGTTTGACCGCTCAATAACATCCATTTTGTCCACGGAATTTTCTGGATTCTCTAAGGCTTGCCCTGAGATATCTTCTCGTTCTGAATACGAGCCTTTCTGAATTGGATTTGTTCCAAGTTTTTGTCCCGAGGAAGGGGTCGAATCTTTTCCCGTAGCGTTGTTGAACTTGGAGCTTACACGAAATGGTTCAAATTTCTTCCAGGAGGTTATATTCTTCCATTTTCGATGTCTCACGTTGGATTCGTCTCGAGTCGTTTCCAACCCAAACTTGACTCCGTTTTCCTGCTCTTGAGATTCATTGTCCTCTCTTGCGCCATGGTTTGCTGCGATTGGGTTGGGGTTCTGTGTGCCATCCTTGCAAGTAACCTTTTTATTCTCTCCATCGTTTCTGTGGACTTCGTTTTCGGCACAAACTTCTTCGTTCCAGGTAAACATAGAATAGTTCCAAAACGAATCAAAGGTATCCAGCGATTTATCTGTATCTTCGTGAAAAAAATCGTATTTCTTGTCGCATTCTTCCTTGGTGGCTGGAGATGCCAATGATTTGCTGTGAGCTTTCCTTGTGTTGATCGTTTTCGACTTCGATGATGTCTTGATATCCCACTTCTCGGGATCTTCTAGGTTAGAAAAGATCGTGTCGTCGCTATCAGAAGAAATAGCAACCTCCAGGCGATTTTCGCAATCTCCGTGCGCTGGCCAGCGCTTCATACTCATAGATCTTAACAGATTTTTGCCTTGGATTGTTTTCAGCGTTTTCTTCCATCCGGCCTTCTCCTTCTTGTTACATGACAGTGCCAAAGCATCCAATCGGTCATTTTCGTCCGCTCTCATAGTATTGATTGCTGGTGGTCCCTTGCTTTTTACCGTCTTCGGTGATGCTCCGCCAGAGTAGTCACAGAGGAAAAAATTCACCATCACATCCCCAACATCAATCCGGTAACACGATTGGAGAAGGGTGGATATGTCGATGGTCGCGGTATTGATGGAAAAGATATTATCGACACAGAAGTTGACCGAGTTCCCAATAGGATTTCCTGGATCATCGATCTCGGCAGCTTCCCTTGGATTCAAAACCATTAGTCCCAAGTCCTTGGATCTGTAACTGCATTTCGGTTCTGTGTTCTCTCTTGCCACCTCGACTGTCTCATTGCCACGGCCTTGCTCACGGTGGTTGAAGCTTAGTCTCGGTAGGACGGGAAAAAATTCGTAGTTGCTGTTTTCGATGCTCTTGTTTCTACGGCTCGAGGTCGTCGTTGGGGGTTGACGAGCTCGGCGTTTTGATAATGGCTTGTTCCCACTTGTCACTCGCACTATCGCCTTTCCCATGTTGCACGACTATTTTTGCTTCTCCCTCTTTCGCTCCGAAAAGCAAACCTTTCTCGATGGAAAGGTAGAATGGCAGATCTTTTTATCTACTTTTTGATATATCACCGTGTGTGCGAATTGAGAAAACCGAATTCAATCGGAAAGACGTGTTGGCATGAACGACATAATTTGTACGTTGTACGGTGTAAAACAAACGAAATCGTGGTCGAGCACGACCTTATAAATCCATGATTCGTTAGAATACCGTATGATCGCAGCCATCAAGACCCAAGCACACGGGGTGCCCACGTGCCAACTATCAGCCGTATCCTATTGTTTTTCTGCAACGGTTGAGTAAGGAACGCTCTTTACCTCGACACGGGTTGGGATAGTCCATTGCAAGGCGTTTGTACCTTGCTCATCGCATCGTGCACTTCAGGTTCGTATCATGTGACAGCGTAAAAGACAACTGACATGAAATTGCTTCTGGAACGCAAACTGACGGTTAAACCTGAGATTCGCCAAGTTCAACGGACACAGACCGAAAGGCTTTATTAGTACCTACCGTTACAGGAGAAAAGGATACTCCGATGTGCGCGCTTTAACAACATTCGATTTTGCTGCGCACTACTGTACTTCGTAGAATTTTCTGCCCATTTTTTCTACCTACGAAATTTTGAAGAAGATTTTTCTTTCGTAAAAATAATAATATTGAAAGTACCGGACGACACTTACAATTTTTTTTGAAAAATAGTTATCCAGGTACACAATCAGGAATCACTTTCAGTGATTCCAAAGGCACAGCAGGCTTGCTGCACTGACATTACATATTTTCCCTCCATTTCTGGAATTTGGAATCCTGTATAATTGCGTGCTAATTTCACAAGATTCCAGTTTGTGGCGCCAATCCAGATTTTCACAGAACCAGATCTGGCATACTATGGTGGTGTCGTGGCAGCAATAGAAAGAAAGTATCATCCTACTACTACCCTTGGAACCAAAAGAGTATGGATGCAGCAGATGGCCTCAAAGTTATGCTCAAGCACTCTACCAATTGGGCCATTCAGAGCATATGTAGTTGATACTTACATCAATAGTGTTCTTGTCTTTGCGCCAGCAGAGGATGGAAGAATTCATATGTCCGCATATCATAACTGTCCTGGGACTTGGCATGACAGCACCATGGCAGACTATGACATATACAACAAGATGATGGAGGCCATACTATATAACAGGAATGGGAGGAAAGTTGTTGTCAATTCTGCATTTAAGAAGGGTAAAGTGGCAAAATGATACTATCTCATTTGAAGCCAGCAAAACAATCCAGATACTACTTTCCCCGCAATGACTGAGAACACTCAGGCTATTGTAATCAGTAGGGAAGCAAGAGCTGTCCAGAACTTGTCTGAATGGGACATGCAAATGATTCAAGGGCAGTTCTGAAGAATGAAGAAGAACCAACTTGTACTGGAAGAGCTTGGAGATACCAGGAAGATCATTCTTAACCTCTTGTTGTTGTTGTTGTATACTAAATATCAATGCAGCAAGAAGGTAGGCATTCATCAGATCCTCAATCCCTTCATGAGCAATACAAGTGGCTTTGAATCCTTTCAACAGCTGAGGGAATCCTACGCCAGCAGACAGATAGGATACTTCTCCTAGTATAGACTTCAGCCCAATGGGGACACAAATAGCTCGTTCCCCAGCTTGCTCCTCTGAGTGGATTGTCAATTGCATCAGAGAAAAAGCGTGATCTCTTTTGCAAGCTTGATTGCTGGAATTATGAGTGGATTGCTAGTAGGTATCTGCTTCCTGTGGAGGGAAGCATACTTCCTTGTGGTGGTGATGGATTCCTTGTCTCTTCCAGGGCCCTCCGGTACCCACGTGCACATCCCCCTTTTTGAATTCCTCCCTTAGAAAACCGTGGGTTATTTTTGGTGAAAAATGACCCATGTTTTAGAATCATGGGCTATTTCATTGGAAAAAGAAACCGTGGTTTTTTTATTTGAAAAATAACCCACAAAAGAACCCAGGAACCCAAAAATAAACCATCTCATGAAATAACCCACAAATAACCCACAATTTTACAGTGATCTAGGTTGCTGGAGAACCAAGGATGTTAAGTATTTTAGTCATTAATGTTATGCCCAGGAGGTTTGTGGGTTTTTCATGGGTTAATTCGTCGGTTACTATTTCATGGGTTATTTGTGGGTTAACCCAGGAACCCATGTTTTAAAACATGGGTTATTTTTTGTGAAAAATAACCCACATTTTAGAATCATGGGTTATTACATGGGAAAAATAACMCATGTTTTAGAATCATGGGTTATTACTACATGGAAAAAATAACCCACATTTCTTAAACGTGGGTTTTTTATTTGAAAAAAAAACACAAAATCGCTCATTCCCCCAATATTCGATTTCAAAGGGGGGACGCGTGCGCATTGGTTCCAGAGGGCCCAGTAGCCCAGTTTTCTTCATGGATATCAACAACTTTCATCCATTGTTCAGGACCAATTGGAAGTATCTTCTTCAGGGTAGTCAGTATGCAAATGGTCTCCCTAAGAAGGGTTTAGTTCATGGAACCACAAGATATTCCTACCAGATTCAAATTGAATATGACTGTGTAGAACACGTAGAATCAGTACTACAAAATGGAAATGAGCATGCGCATGATTAAAAATTATTTTAACACATAAAATTAGTACACACATACTAGTAGTAGTAGTGGTACTAGTACTAGCATTAACACACCAGCAAATGAAATTTTGACAATGGTATGGTACACCTCCTTCAAACAAGAAATGACCACACAGGGACCTTCTCAATATCTAAGATAAGAATACTGTGATAAAGCTCTCATTCCTGGCTTTCTATAGCTGCTGGTGACATCGTTAAATGGCCAGCAGAACCCTTTCAACCAGTAAAATGAAAATCATACTAGTATGCTAAAATTGGGTCTCTTTAAGTAGCTATAGCAAGTACATCAGACACATTGACTATATTCAATCTACATGACTGTATAAGAGTATAATAGATCTGTTTAGTGCAAAAAGAAGCATTCCAATTGCTCAAATATTGACCTTATTTCAGTAGTAAAGGTGCAAAAGTGACATTTAATTGGGAACGGAGGACGTACTAATAATACTGTACTATGATTAAGTAAGATGAAGCAGGATTTGTGTACTCTTCGTATTAAAAATCTTAAAGACAAAACGGGTACAATAATGAATGAAGTTTTCATCACCAGGCAATTTTACAGAAAAGCACCTCTCATTTTTTTAAAACTGACGTTGTGATCTCAACATGAACAAAAATAAGCCTTCAGAAGCGATAGTGGAAACACCGTCAGTCGGTAAATCAAACAAAATTGTGTACAAAAAATTATAATGGTAGGCTCCTTGAGACTTTTTGAACGCGAAACGTTTCAAATTTTTGTCGATGGAGTTTCCGTTCCTTCCCTCACTTTTTGCCCCACAAAAATGAAGCAAAAGGGAGAACCAGTCGACAAAAGATTCTACTAAAATCACAATAGAGATTGGGGGAGGATCATTGTTCTTTTACAGAAGTTGGTGAAATGATTCTTGTTGTGACAGTCCGATACAAAAAAATTTGGATGTCGATGCATTATTAACACCGTGGGAACACATCATTATTCCTTGTTGAAATAGGCGGATCGAGTTAATGCCGATGCCTAGATAGCGGGTGAATCACTTGACACTGTGACCCATTTGAGAACAAATTTGTTCTGCTGCAGATCTTACTCTTTTCCTTGGTCTGTCTCATCAAAAACGTATTGCATCGCCATTGCAAACTGGATAGACGACTGAAAGCGACTGCAACGAACAGTCTCTTACAGAATTGGGCAGAGCTCAAATGTCACCAAGCTCTATGACGCAACCAGAAGCTCTATGCAGATCGGTAGCTCTATGCAGACCGGATCCAGAAAATCTACCGTTGGAATTGAGCTTAAGCCCGAACCTAGTAGCAAACCAGGCAGTTAATCTCACCGAGACCTTCGTCGATGATTTCTGTGTAGGTCTGGAGCGTGACTTGATGGGGCCCCTGAAGGATGCAGATGGGAGAGAATGGAACGGATCGATACAAGATACGTGTGACAACAATACTAATAGTCGTAGTGGCAAGAAGAACAACCACAAAACGAAGAAAGAATGCCCGTGGGAAGATAGGCAACGGACCATCATCTACTGCAACAACGAAGTCGATGGTGATCGCGAAAACGATATCACCACCACAAATCATTTGAACAAAGATAGCACCTACATCTATGCTTACAGCTGTATTTCTTCGTCATCGTCAACGTTGTCTTTGTCTTCGGACAATACCTGCAGGTCTATGGTAAGTGGCATAACTACTGCTAGCTGTGTCGATAGTCACACTTTTGAACCCAATGAAGTTGAAATCGGTATCAATAATTCGAAAGGTGGAGACGATGAGATCGAAGTTGTCGCCGATTCAGTAGGAACGTCATCCTACGTGCTAAAGAACGACAGCAATGGCCACACTAGAACAAGGAAATCGTTTTTGGAATTTGAGCAGGTACTTCCAAAACCAAAGAAAGACGGATCCTCTAACAATGAATTAAAAGACAAGGCAAAAAATAGAAAGAAGGCAACTGGATCGAAGAATGGCAAAACGATGCACAATTCAGTGAATAGCAATCCATCGACCAACATTTCTACCAATCATGACATCGAAGTCATCGTACAACCATCAACGCTATCGTCTTCAAGGTTGGTAGGACAAAACGATAGTTCTTTTCAACTATTCTCGACCGTAATACAAGCGCATGAGTCGACGACGGAGAGAAGTAGCAGCAGTAGGCTGAGCATTACCAATACTAACCCTAGGAACCCTAGCCAAAAGAAGAAAACAAAGCTTCGGCGTGGAACCAAAGCCGTCTGGAAGAACTTCAAGAAAGCGATGGCATCAGCGGGAAATCCTACCTCTTACCTCTCGAACAACAAGAGTAGTGCTGCTGGCCTCTTGGCGAAAGAGAAACATATTGATTCGGAACGAATGATACCTAATGTTGTCGTTAAGACAGAGAATGAGTACCTTCCAAAAAACGGAGACGAAGCCCAAGATGCTGTCTCAAAAATGCATAAAACGAACAGAATCGTGAGGATTTCTACTGTGTCGAGGCGAAACGTGAAGGAGATTATGAAAGGAATAGCGGCAGCTAACAGAGGAAACGAAAAAGTCGCGGATACAGAATCTTCAGACGACGATGGTTCTTTCTCGGAAGAGAAATCCGTAGGAAACGCACCGTTGATGGAAAGCGACAATTCTACCGAATCGCCAGTACGCTTGCAGCCGATTGGTTTCTTTGCAAGGGAAGATTTGACTCCTTCCTGTCGGGAACAAGATATATCTAACGGCCATACGAATGGTATCACGCGAGCCATCCTGGCGGACCTTAAGAAAACTTTGGTTTCTTCGAAGGCGAAGAAAACGTCAAAATTGCACAAGACACCGGTAGTAGAAGCTTCTCCTTCAAATGAAATCGAGAACATGCTAAGGCATCGTCGAGCGTTTTATCTTTGGTCTCTGAGTGTTTTGGAAGCGAACCAAGCTTTGCAACGTAACGTAGAGAATGAGGTTCTCATAGAGCATTGTAATCCTGCTAATATAATAAACAGTGAAGCTTTCAGTCCCGTGATCTCACGTGGATCGACCGTGGCTATGACAAGCGAAAATCCGATGGTTGCCAACGAAACCGCTTGCAAAACCAAGGATATTGGCCTTTCAACTTGCTGCGACAACGAGATGGAGGTTGAGGTCGCTCTGGAGGATCTCTCTCCAATCAATGCTTCCTCGAAGCATACGTCTGACCGTAGAAGACACGTGCTACGTGGTCTTTGGAACTACATCAAGGTGCAAAAATCCAAGAGCGTGACCAAGGATGCACGCAAGTATGTCGAGGTCGAAAATCACTAAATGGCCGAAGGCAAAAGATCGAGGGGCAATATCGAAAATTAGCAAGCATATCGATACAGATTCATCCCATACTAACGACCGAGCCAGAGACTCTCCTGATCGCCGTTTTCGGAGAAAATCAAAAGTCTCCATGGATTGAATCACGCAGAAAGGTTGGTTTAATCGTGAAAACCAAGCAACTCCCCCAAACACAACTAGAGACAAAGACTTGGTTCAATCGTGGAAACCAAGCCAATATGATGGCAGATTGTATATTTGTATGCGAAGAATATAGGAAAATAAATTGTGTTTTGTAGGTGACGAAATGAGAATAACTCAAAAAACGAAAGGAAGCCGACAGGTAGATTTGAATACCTTAGTCATCTTTAAAAATAAAACACTCTACTTGGTAGAATCTCTTCAGTGAAACTCCTGAATGGACTCTTGTGTCATTCATTGCGAATAGAAACATAAAATTATTAATTTTCGTCCGATACTTAACGACAAATCACAGGTGGCCTCCACCAATTTAAAAAATTCTGTGCACAACAATCGTTAACTCCGTCTCGTGAGCTACAAGAGCGCACAAGACAGCGCTTGATTATGTCTCACCAAATACACCGGAAGTGTTTGAATCGTTGGCCAGAAAAAAGCAGAACTCGTTGTCGGCAAATTAGATGAATGTGTCAGCTGTCCAGATTTAGCATTATTACCATTCCAACAACAGTATGTATGCGAATTAGCAACCTTCCTCATTTCATTTAGTGCCATCTCCTTGCGCACGACACAAAGCCGGCACTTTCCTTCTAGAGATTCCAATGTTCCGCAGCAAGAAAGAAACTATCACACTATATCTCCACACTTTGTACCTCGAATCCGTTGTGCTCAGAGTTATCATTCATTGCAAGCAAACCATCCGTGGAGGAAGTCTCGCAGACTTCCTTGTCTAACTTGCCGAGGACATAGTTGTCGACAGCCCCGATGTTTGACTCATCGTCGATGTCAATTACGCTTCCATCATGGTAAAACTCGGTGGAGGGACCGAGTTGGAACTGAGCAGCGTTATCGAACTTCAAATCCATGGCACTTCTTGGACTATTGCTGGAAGGATGTTCTTTTTTGGTACTACCCTTGCGGCGAAACGAGGGGAACCGCTTTTTAAGTGTCTGTGATTCAGACTTCGAAATTTCTTTGGGAGGCGTTGCCACAGTAGCTTCATCAGCATCGCTCTCTCCACTTTGAGGAGGGGTGTTGTTGTTGGTACCCGACGATCCCGAAGTGGAGACACTTGCAACACTGCCACCACCGATCGTTCGATGCTTTCGGGAGGATGGTGTAGTCGAACTGTTGGGTGGGGGAACCGGTGGAAGATTGCCCTTTCGGCGGGGCGTGGAAGGTTCTTGTTGCCCTCCTGAGTTGTCGGCAAGGGGCTTGTCCTGATTGTCGGGACTTGATCGCCTACGAAACAAGGAACGTCGGCGGGGGAGAGAGACACTCGCCGTCGAAGATTTGCGCGACATCCCAGACGGTGGAGATGTGTCCAACGCAATCCCGGACAAACGACTGAGACTCCTCGCTAATGGCGACGATGCAGCATCCCTTTGTCTAGTAGACAACGGCGAGGAGTGTTGCCGCACTGGGTCCAATCGGATCGTGGAGGGAATCTCGTTAACACTCGTGATGCTCGATGTATTCACGGAAGATGTGTCCCCTCCGCGGTGGGAGCCAATGGTTTCCGTGTTCCAACTGCCAGCCACGGAAGCAGCAGCAACGCCCTTGCCACTACTTCGAACAGATCTCTGGGAGACTGATGGGGCATCCCCACGCACTGGAGATCCAACAGCCTGCTTCCGCTGCCCACCAGACTGTGGAGAAGTAGAGCTCGATCCAACCGTGGCAGATGACGAAGGCAACGGAGCGACTTGCTTCGAGGGGACAACGGAATCCGCTTTCTTCTTAATGTTCAGCTTCTCGTGACGCATGCGCTCCGGTGTAAGCTGGTTTTGCTCGGATACCGCAAACGTTCGAGTAGGTTCCTTGTAGGCCATGTTTTGCATTCGCATGGCGAGACTATTGAGAGGTGGACTGCCATTGCCATTGTAACTACTATCACTGGAATCCTTGCCCTCATCCTCCTTGCCTTCCTCGCCGTCTCCGTCCTCTGTTTTCTGGTAGGCCTTGAGGAATGGACTAAGGTTGCTACTAAAGGTTCGCATCAATGCTGCCTTGAGGGCGGTCGGGGAATCCTTCGTGTCTTCCGTGTTCCTCATCATGTGCACCAGATTAGTCACGTCTTCTGGGTCGTTTCGGTCGGTGCTGTCATCGCTTTCGTCGTCCGTCGATGACGATGATGACTCTTCTTTTCGAAAGGCGGTCGCACCGGCCGCATTCGCGGCAGCAGAAGCGGCAGCCGCGACCTTGGGACCGTTCTCTTTGGCAGCGGCTATCAGCACATCAGTCCAGGTCTTGAGACGCACGATGGCCTCCTCGGCTTCGGTCTTGACCTTGGAAGATGCAGCACTACTGTCAAACCCGTGGCAGCCGCTAGGCTGCTCGAAGTCGTCCAGAACCGACCGGAGTCGTGGTGGTGATGACAAGTCGTCGCTACTTCCCTTGGGCGATTCCGGTGGGGAGTTTCCTTCCGTGACTCCGTCCCAGAGGTTTGACATGGTTTCTTCGTCCGGTGCTTGTTTGTGGCCCCTGTTGTTCTTGCTGGATTTATCCCTGCGGTAGTTCCTTGACGAATTGGTCGATCGGATTCGGCTCTGTTTTCGACGAGATGTTGGAGGATACCGTTCCGTTTGCTCGTCCCATGGCCGATTCGTTTTTTCGTCGATCCTCTTGTTCTTAAAACCACGAACGCGGTCCGTGTCGATGCTGCTTTCGAGAGTGCTGTCCCGAGAAAAGAGGGACGGATCGTAGGTCCCGTCGTCGAAGGTGTTGAAGCTCCTTTCCCTGGCGTAGCTCCCATCGTCCATGGTGGGCAGGGTTTCGTCATCGTTGTAGGTGGAGTTGTTGTAGATCGTATTGTCTTCTTCGTCGTCGTGTCCCATCATGCCAAAGTTAAGCCCGCAGCCAAAGTTGATCGAGGGGCGGTTGACCTCCTTGCGAAAGACGCGGACGCAGCTCATGAGGGATCCACCTCGATAGAGGTGATCAAAAACAGCACCAATAGCGTAGAGTTCTTGCGGGGTAGCATCTTTCTCGCCCTCCTCTGGAACTCCGATTTTACGCACGTTATCAATTTCTGGCAGCAGATTCAGAGATCCGGAGCGGTCTCGACGTCTCCTGCTGCTGTTGTTCAAGTTTCTGTGTCTCGACGCAAGAATATTGCTATTCAGCTTTTGGCTCGCCCTATTAGGGGGCTTCGCATCCACTCCATCGCAAAAGAGGGATATCAAAGAAGGATTTGCCGTGGCCTTCTTCTTTCCACCAGAGGATCCTCTGAGTCCTCTATGGGATGCAGATGCTTGGGACGACATATTTGGATGTTTCGGCGTCCAACCTGTGCACTCGAAGATATTGTGTGCTTTTCAGAACCGTCTGGTATGTATATATGTGCTTTGAGCTTCTTTCCTCAGAGAAAGAGAGGACTGCGTAGAGGGGGAGGGTTCCGTTCGGTTCAGTTCGGCTGGGATCGTCCCAGTCGCAAATCCTTGTCTCAAACTGACTTGTGGCGCGGTTCAAACTTCTATTCGGAATAGATAGTCAATTTAAATCCTTTGAAGTTCCTACAGTCCATTCGAATCGTTCTACGATACAATAGTGGTTATATTGTGAGCTTGATGGCACTGATGAACGTTAAGGTACGTTGCACCCTATTTTTGTGCAAGATACAGCCTTGCGGTTTTGGATCTCCTCGGTATTTTTGTCTACTTTACCTGTAGGAAACAGGGAATAGGATAGATGGAGGTAAACCACAATATTTCACTTCGTATGCCACCGTACTGAAAGTGTCACAAATTGGAAAAATACGCATGAAAGATGATGATCATCAATTTGATGTAACTGGTGGCGTTAAATTGTCTAAGAAACTGAATTCTATCGGTTATTTTCGTACAAAATTTTGCAAACGTATATCTGCCCGGCGGGATTTCCCACCGGAGGGACAACTGCAACCGGGTGAGTGTTCCGTTCACACATAAAAACACATCCGAGCTCGCCGAATTTCCCACACAAAAAAATGAAAGAGATAATGGAGAACGTGTCACAACATACGTGAAACTACGTACTTACTGTACGAAAGAAATGGGACTTTCGCAGGAAAAATCTTCGATATTTTTGGCTTCTAAAACACACCTTTATTCGACTCCGACTAGAGTTCTCAACGCGGGAAGCATATCGTACCGATCTTTTACCGCTCAACTTCTACGTACTGGTGCCGTCCGGTAGCTACTAGATTGATGTCTCTTCATCGTAGTCCCCTACAGCCACCAATTCTCTTTTCACCAAATTAAGTTCGTGTGATGAGCTTCAATTCTAAACCCACAAAAAGATCGAACTAAATAGTGCCTGTCCATCAACCTTCAAAACTAATAAAAATTCTATACATGTTCTTCGTATGATCTTGGTCGTTCTTGGTATGGGAAACTATACATAACAGTGGTTGATGGACAGAATCTCTCCCATTAATTTCACTTCCAGTCGTAAGTCGGTTCAGTCCTTGTCGTTTTGGCGGCAATACGGGAAGTACTACCAAATTCATGTAAAAAAATAATATCGAACGTGTACCCTTAAGGCATCATTCGCGTACGTATTAGCATAGCGCTGACGGACTAGAGAGACTGACGATCCACTTTCCGACTCCGATTCGAGGAAAGCGGACCGACTAGTTCACGATTGCCCGGGATCGGGCGCCAAAGTCGATACGAGTACCTGAAGGCGCAACCATCGCAACATGTGCATTTTCTAGCGCGTTTTGTTGCCGACCGTCTCGCAACCACGAGGGCTTTACACGACCCACTGAATTTTGATTTTTTTGTACCGCATGGTTTGGAGCAGGTGTGCAACGCCAGGAGTGGTAAGAAATGTAGAAGTGTGACCGATGTTTTTTGGTTCAAGGAAACGACAAAATATAAAATAAACGGACAAGACCTGAAAACACWGATYGTCGTTGCATTAGCGTGGGATTTTGAGTTGGCGTTCCAACCAGAAATTCAAATAAGGATTGTATTCAAATTTGAATTTTGCGAAAGGAACAATAAGAAAAAAAGTGTCAGAAGAAACGGTCAAAATTAATATGGTCCATGTACTAGTATGATTCATTGGTATCAATAGTAGATATTAGAGAGATGGGTACATTCGGTCCAAAACCGAGATACTACACATGGTTATTGAACATGAAAACTTGTGGACGGGAATCATCCAACGTATCATGAGAATACGTGCGTACATACTCATTTCATTTTATATAGGTACAGGATGTACCAAATCATACAAAATCTTACACAAACCGTGCCAGAATATTTCCAACCCAAACCTGATATTCATACCAGGGCAAGGGAATATATGTGGCGTGGAGCAAAAAAGAGCCAAAGGTTTTTCCTGGCGCGAAGTCACAAAATGGAATAAATTTCAAAGGAAATAATAAAAATTATAAAGTGGACAAAGAAAGTAACAAGTTAGTACATAAATCACATTATCACACGTAATAGGTAGATATTGCTAAAGCGGTAAGTTGTTGCATCACAGGAAATACACATCTTGTTTCCATTGGCGTCATTCAATACAATAGAGCACAGACATTGGCGAGGAAAAATTACAAGGGTAAGTACATGCAGGTTACCAAACAAAATTAAAGTTTTTGTGACTCACGATCAATGATCGTTGCTTGTTGAGAACAGAAGACAAAAAAACAATAACGTACCAGTCACGTTTGGCGGCGACTGCTTCATATCAGAACAAGGAGATGAAGGAGAGACATACGTCCTGAGAAGTAGCTACAGACGAGAAAATAGTCCGGAATTCAAGTACTTGGTAACAAGGATTTTAGGGGGCAGTGTCCCCTAAACAAACGGAATTCAAGCAAAGGCGACACAAGGATAAACTGAGCTCCATTTTTACCGCCACAGACGAAGCCTTCGCATTGCTGTTTTTGTACAATGACTAGTACGAATCGTGGAATAATTCAGGAAGTGGAAAGAAAACCAGAAAACATTTAACCGATAGTAGAATAGGTAACAAAGAAGGCTGGAGCTACGAGGGATGTATGCTGTTTGGGAAGTTAGTAGAAGAGGTAAAGAAGTGTAGAGGGGAAGAGGCTTCAGCGGAGATTGAACAAGAACTAAGGGCGGCATACAGAAGAGAAAACAGAGACAACAGGGAGGATAGAATTAATAAAAAAAGAAAGTTGCGCAAAATGGAGAAAAATTTTGATCAGAAAAAATACTGGGAGGACAATGATGACTTAAATGAGCTGCAGTCAAAGATACGGGCTGAATGAGAACCCAGGCGTTACTAGTAATCATAACGAAACGCGGAGGATACGAAAATAACAACAATAGCGGCACGAAACATTTAGAAATTAATCCTTTGCTGTTAGATAGTAAAATAGCTTCATTGTGAAATAAATTTGTTGACAGAAATAGAGAAATTGTCGCTGGGCGCCGAAGAGTTGGCATAAGGAAAGAGGAATTTGAAACCGACCTGAGGAATTGATGAAATAGCAAAAATATTTTCTTGACGACACATGGTATTTTTTGAATGGTTGATATACTTTTGAAATGGTTGAGCAATTCATCTCCAAATACGAAAATATTTTCTATGAAAAAGAATTTATTTTGAGCATGAGAAAGGGCATCGAACTCCACATGAGAAATGAGTGGTATGAGAACATGTTCCAAGGAAAACGGCCAGATAATTGTGTGCGAGCATCACAAAATACATGTGCGAATTTTATTTCATGTACCCAGGGAAAAAAAAAACATAGTACAGGTTTGTGTGACGTGGTCATCCCCTGAGTGGAACATGTACTACAGGAAGAAGAAAGGGGAAGCGGCGTACCTCCTGATTGCAATCCTTGGGGTTCTCCGGTCCCTCCTTTGGCGCTCCTCTGGAGACAGTTTGCTTTTGTAACTTCTTTGGTGCTCCTCCGCATTCAACTGGAGGTACCAGTACATTGTTATCACTTCCACTAATCCCATTGTCAATGGTCGATGTTGCCTTTTGTTTTGCTGGGAGGAAACTGTTATCGCTTAGTAGTGTGTTTGTCGGGTGGTTGGCAAAGCGTAATGCATGAACTCATGGAGGGGTGCGCAACGCATCGAAAACTCATATTCCATCCTCGGTACCAATAAGAAAAATTTCCCTAGAGAATTTTTTTTCACCTCATTTTTACTGCATAACACTGCATAAAGTGCACCTGAAAGACCTCATGCACAGGAACACTTCCAATCACTCTCTGATTTTCAAACTTCATATGCAAATCTCTCATATAGTTGAGAGTCAAGTAGTAAGTGTTTGTCAGGTGTTATTGTTGTCTATAGTTCAGAATTTGAAGCACCAATAAAGGCCTGGTGGTAGTAAAAGATTWGTACATATTAGTACTGTATTTGAAGTAGAAATAGTCTGTCCTTTGTCCAGTCAGTCCTACCAGTCTAGTCCATAGCAAAAATTCGAACTGTCTGTCCTTCATCCGTTTCTCCTACTAATTCCCCAGCAGTAATTTCTAATAATAATCTAGTCATCATTCAACAGTGGTGTAATATCACAGCAACCAATTTGATGCCCAACAAATTGGTATATTCAGAATCATCATTAAAAACTGGACTAGACAGTATGTTCAAAAATTAAAATAGTAGTATTTTTGATAAAGTTATAACCACTTGAAACTTGGGTAGTATTACTAGTAGTATGCAGTAAAAATGAAGTGAAAAAAAAAATCTCTAGGGAAATTTTTCTTATTGGTACCAAGGATGGAATATGAATTTTCCAATCATTCTGCAGTAGTTTTCGACGCGTTGCGCACCCCTCCTATTTATGACCCCTGCCGGTACGTACCGTACCATATCATATGTTTTAGAATTGCATTGTTTTATTGAGTACTATATAAAGTTATATAATTAACGGAAAGACAATCGAATTTATGGATCAATGAAAATATATATTCGCAATCCAACGGCTACCAAAAAGCTACTTTTAAGTAGCTTAAAAGTAGCTTTAAAGCTTCTTTTAAGTCGCTTAAAAGCTACTTTTACCTTACTTTAGTTTTTGCTTAGTCAAAAATTTTGACTCGCGCAATCCCCCCTCATTTTGCTCAGGTCGGCTTATATATCAGTAGGCACGTGTCTCAGTAGCTGAGCCGTAGGTCCAGTAGCTTAAAGTATCCGGTTATGAGTTGTTTCCCAACGTCCCTGATTCTAGGTCCAATCGAACAATCGGTTCGATGTCGAGAAGTCTTAAAGTGTCCTTACACTGTTAATTGGATAAAATTATAAAGAATGAGGGTTATCTCTAGAGTCACTAGAATGCATTTTCCTGTCCGTTCTCTCATTCTTCTCACTTATTCTTCTTCTCATACTTATCGCTTATTCACTTCAATATATATATCTAAATATTGATTACTTAATGTGCTCGCCTTTCGCTAACGTCTTCTGTCTTTTCGCACGTTAGGATGGCTTAAGTAAATACGGATCCATTTCCGGATTCCCCAACAACAAGACAAGCACGGCAATGGGATAGACCCCGCTAAGGAATGTATTAATAGCCGTTGAACCCGCCTGATTTGATGCCGAAATTATAGATTTGGGGTGGAAGTCTGCGCCGGCCGTCCGAATTGCTGCTGCCAAAGGCGTCTTCTCCCAAGGCGGCCTCCAGCATGTCCTTTGCATAACCGGAGGCATCGACGAGTCCGTCTTCAAGGGTCCAGGTCAGGGT